TTTTTTTCAACTCTCAAACCCATTATTTTCATCAATAAAATAGTATCAAAGCACATTTTGGCGCCCCTAACTAGCTGGCGCCCGGAGATATCTGTCCCCCCCCCCTGCCCCCAGCACGCTACGCCTCTGTTTGTTGGCGTTGAGTTCAAATTCAGTGCTGGTTTAAGACCTGCGGATGCCCCTAATTGCCCCCTAAGCATTTGAAATGTACCCCCCCCCCTTTTTTTTTAAATTTCTTTTTTCCCAATACACATATCGGTCAAGTTGAGCTCAGGTCCCATTTCAGTTACACAAGTCGCATGTTTGAAAACTGAAAAAGTATATTTGTTTTACATTTAATGTCCTTTAATACAGAAGATCTAATAAGTTGACGTTGTCGTGTTATTTATTTTCATCCCTGCTTGGCATCAAAAGGCGACAGTCCATCGAAATCCTCATTGTATTAGTCACTTGTTTCAATTTACATTTGATTGTTCAACGAAGCACGGGAGGTAAATTTTGAAATCCATGTTTAAAACTAGTTTGAGTTACTGTTCTTGGTGATCACTGCGCACGACAATTGACCTTTAACCTATTGGTCTAATTAAAATTCAATTCATTGTTTGGTTTCGAAGATGGTGTCAAATTAATCACTGTTTGTCATTCTGAACTGACATTGTTGGCTACTCTGCCTTTGCATAACTGCATCATATGCACTGTCAGTACAATACATATTTAAGTGTCGCTTCTTTTCGTTCATTGCAATTGTATTGACAGCATAGTATTTGGAGTTAGCGTCGGTGCAGTACTGAGACTCAGCTAGAGTCTAACTGACGCCTTTCCTTACGGGTGTACTTAAGACTAGTAGTAGTAGTAGTAGTTACAGTTGGTTAGTAAAGTAGTTACAGTTGGCTAGTAACTGAAACTGGGTAACGAAACATTATATTTCAGACAGTGGCGTAGCGAGGGGGGTGCGGACCGCACCGGTTGACACCATTTTGGGGTGACACCCAATTGACAATTGAAAAATTGCATATTTACAGAGCAATCTGAGCACACACAACCGAGATTCATAAACGTATAGTATAACCGATCACGCTTACATTTTTCATAAATGTAACCAATCCAAACTCAAAGACATGGATGGTTTGGTGATAAAACCACGATACTGTACGTGTAATGGTTAATGACAAAAACTGGCACATTTTAAAAGATGCACTAGATACGTACCTCATACTCATATACCTTTAGGGAAATTTTTTCGGTCTGAACCTATTACTATTAATATATGAAGCACCTCGTTTCAGAACAAGGACGGACTATTCAGCGTAGTGACAAGGCTAAATGCAAAATCTAAAGGAGGTGTTTGCCAGCTAAAAAAATCAATGGATCTAAGGGATGATTCAAAATGGCAAGAAAATACTGCGGTCGTGGATGGTTTATTCACTCGTCAGTCAGAAATTGTATTGTTTTTGCTGCAGATTGTTTGCTGTTATTGTTACAGAAACATCTTCCACATTTGTTACTGGCTTTGGTAAGTGGTGGAAACTGAGCCCAAAATTATAAAACCATGAGACATTGGAAGAGCAACTAATGTTGCCTTGAAAAGTTGAAAGCATTGGCAGCAGGACTTAGGATACACAAAACAATTGATAATTGATACCCAAAGTATTGCTGTGATTGACAGGGAGAAGAAAAAGTGGAGGGATATCCTGCACAGGTTGCTGGATATCACATTGTTTCTTGCAAAACAAAATCTTGCCTTTCGTGTCCAGAACGAAGTTGAGTCTTTACTTAATTTTTCTTGAAATGGTTGACATGTTATCTAAATATGACCCAGTGCTAAAAGAGCACCAAATGAGACTAAAGACGAGTACATCTACAGAAAAAGCATCCGCATCTTACCTTACACAAGAAACCCAAAATGATTTTAAAAATGTTTTCGCACATCATGTGAATTAGATTCTTTTCATGGATTTAAAGGCTGCAAGGTATTTTGAAATTATGTTCGAAAGTACACATGAAATTTCACACAGTGATCAGATTTCCGAAGTGATCAGATATGTGAAAATCAACAATGGGAAAGTTGAAGTGAGAGATGTGTTCTTGCATTTTTCCCGTTAAGAGGGAAAAAGCTGATGACCTCAGCTCTGAAATTCTTAAAAATCTAAAACTTTATAGACTAGAAATGATGATGTTCAGAGCTCAAGGTTACAATAATGCTGCCACAATGTCTGGAATCCATGGAGGTGTTGAGGCCATTATGAAAAGAAATATTAAAAGAATGCAATTTTTAATATATGTGTGGGCAATTCACTTAACTTGTGTGGTCAACACTCTTTTACAAAAAATGCTTCATGTATTTACATTTTTCGGTACTCTTGAAAGAATATTTTCCTTGTTTGCTGCATCCACTCATCGATGGAATGTTCTAATTGAACACACCACTGGGATGTCGGTGAAAAGACTGTCAATAACGAGTTGGAGAGCTCATCATGCTGCTGTTAAAACAGTGAAAGATGAGTTTGATGAATGTGCGGCGGTGATTGAAACTCTGTGTAATCCTCTTGAATATTCAGATACAAAAGGTACAGCACATGGTCTTTTACATGCTGTCTGTGATTTCCCGTTTATATGCTACCTTTACCTTTGGGCTTATCTACTCGAGGAAGTTAATCTTACACAGCAGTATCTGCAAACTAAAGGCTTTGCTCTTGACAAAGTGGTGAGAAACCTAGAGGCCTAAAGATTGTTTCTCCACGTGAAGTGCCGTCACTTGGTGTAACATGCTATTGAAAAGGCACTTTTAAAATCAGACCAATATGGAATTTCGGTAGAGAGAAGAATAAGGTTGAAGAAGAGAATGGCAGGAGAATAATTATTTGATGCTAGACTCTTTCTGCGAGAAGAAAACAGTAGGGAGATCCTGGCTTGTATTGATCGCTTTCATTCTGAAGGCCAGATCAGATCATTAGCGACCAAGGAAGTAGAAGATATGTTTGGTACTGTTTGACACAAGAGTCTAGTATCAGCAAGTGAAGAAGAGTTATTGGTTTCCGTTCCAAAATTAACCTCTTTCTATGATGAGTCATTAGAAGATGAATTTTTAAAAGAAATACCAAAGCTTAGAAGAGATCTAAAGGCAGCTGATATTGAATTTCACAAATTCAAGGACTGGTCAGTATTTGATGTTTTGAAATTCATAGCTGAATGGGACCTCCTAGAATCTCCTCCAATACTCTCGCTAAGCTTTTAATTTTTTTCTTACAATATGTGTGTATGTGGCTTCTTGCGCCCGGAGCTAATCAAAACTAAGCTTATCAAGAAATATTTATGATCCACCATGGAAAAGTCTAGGCTGTCTGATGCTGCTCTGCTAATAATTGGAAGTGATACAGTGAATGAAATTGATTTCGATCAAGTGATTGACAGGTTTGCAGCTTTGAAGACACTGAAAGGACAATTTGAAATAAAGTAAATTGAATGTAAAAATAACTATAACTTAACGTTGTTGCAGATTTAAAGACATTGACCTCATGACCTTCGATGTAATTGATTTTGTTCTTGTCATTGTTATACAGTGTATTTATTTTAACAAGTAGAAATCCATCATTGAAGTTTTTTTTAAGGGAGGGGGGGGGGTGTGTGACACCATGAGTTTACCGCATCGGGTGACACCAACCCTAGCTACGCCACTGATTTGAGATACAGTGTTCATTGCAGTCTATATACTAGACCGTGGACAGTCCAAGTCTTGAAAAGTTCAGTATCTAAAATATACAAGGAACAATCCATGTCAGACGTCAGTCACCAAATTGAAATAGTAATAAGTAATACTAGTAATAGTATAATGATGATCGTTAAAATTTTGTCGCACTATTTAGTAGACACCCTCAAAATAGGCCTACATCTCCCAAATTTTTATACACCACCAGTGTGACGCCATTTATGGATGAAATCCATGTTCACTATACTCATAAACATTAATATTACTAAATAAACTTAAAATTAAATAATAATAAAGGTCAAAGGATATTGCAAAAAATAATTTTGAATATACAATATACTGTATTTTAATTTTAACACTCTTAATCTCTTTCTAAAAAAATGTCATTAATTTATGATTGGGCCTTTATAAAATATTAAACAATAAAATCAATTATCATAGGCCCAATATCACAACAACACAAAAAGTAAAAACAAAAAAAGTCCATGTCATGCCCATAACTAAGACTAGGGCTAGGCTAAATTGTGTAGGCCTATAACTATAATCAATAGACCTAAGTACATAATTATACATTTTTAAAATAGTTTGAATCTGGAATCAATGATCTGTCTAATTTTAATGGAAAGTGAGGTTGTATCACAAATCACAGCATATTAATTTAATAAATAATTTATATTATTATAAATAGTATGCAAATGCACAAGCTGAAGTTTTAGTGAATTTAGACTTATCAGGATTAGCTATGTTCTTGGACCCTTCTTCTATCTTTCCAGTTTCAACAAGAATGACACTGATTATTATTGTAACTACTGTTTGCTTACATCTGGCCGTTATCAAAACTCATGGATATGTCAATAACATAGAAGTAAGATCACCAGCAGGGACTTTCCAAGCCATTGCATTAATTTCCCAGCAAGGTCACCAATACACAGCTTTCTTGGGCATTCCATATGCCATACCGCCATTAGGAGAACTGCGATTTTCCAAGCCAAAACCTTATCCAGTAATACAAGTAAGATTTGATTGCAAACCTTGTGAAGGATTTAAAAGTCTTTCACTTAATCATCTTGTTCTTTTTTTAAATAAAAAATCCCTGAGAACAAATTTAAATATTTTTTTGGTTACCGGTAGTTTAAAAAAATTAAATAATAAAAGGCATTTTTCTCTCTGTACAGGAAATCTTTGAAGCTACAAAGTTTGGTCCAATATGTCTCCAACCTAAAGGAGTTGATTTGGGAAGTCCAGGTCAAGAAGATTGTCTCTACCTTAATGTGTTTATTCCTTTCACTAATAAATCTGTAAGATGTCATCTAATTATATATATAATTGCAGTTTTCTCTTATACTTATTAAAGTACAACTCATTGGCATTTATTCTCTGCCCTGCAATATATTCTTTACATTGAATTAATTTTAATTGCGTTTAGAAACACTAGCATGATATTCAATATGATTTACTTTTAAAAAAATATATATAAACAATTTTAGCTTAATATAAATATTTTTTTTTAAAAATAGTTTTGGCCGTTTCTTTTTCATTAATTTTTTTAAGCTATCCAATATTATACATTTTTTTTTCTCATTTAAGAGTCCTGATGTGAATCTGAAGAAAGTTTTTGTTTTTATTCATGGAGGATCATATTTTATGGGATCTGCTAATGAACATGTTCCTGGAGACTTGGTAGCAATGGTATAAAATGTTGTTGTTGTTTTTTTTAAAAAAAGTCTCAGTGTAAAAATGTATATGAGCATTTTATAACAAACAAGTTCAAATCATTTGTGTATTGTTTCAGTAACAAAACTGGCCACTGAGATAAATTTGCAAATGGTTGCAATCAACAGTAAAAAAAATACACAAAGTAAAAGAGATGAAGATTTAATTGAAAGTCATGCACATTTTACTTGCAACCCTTAAAATCTAACAACATAAATAAAAACATGATGTCATTTGGTGTTCATCGGAAGATAAAATTAGATAAAATATTAATATTGTTAAAAATTTTTTCATAGATTCATTTTACATAGATTATTGTTATTAGCGTTTTAAAGTACCTCCAGAACTGATAAATCCCACCTTCTTACAAGGCTATACCTCACGTATGCTTTAGGGTGACGTCATAGTTGTCACCTTCAACTACCGTCTCTCCTGGCTTGGTTTTCTCAAAGGCGACTCCCCTGAACTTCCAGGCAACCAGGGCTTATGGGACCAACTCCTGGCTCTTACTTGGGTGAAAAACAACATCAGATCATTTGGAGGTGACCCAGATGACATAACGGTGGGAGGAAATTCAATGGGAGGAGAAAGTGTTTCAGCTCTCAGCATTATGAAACCAGCCCAAACATTGTTCTCTAAGGTGAGACTTACAAATTGGAATTAAAAGGGTTGATCCTGCTGAAAGGGCCATACAGGTGCTTTAATGGGTCAATAAAATAGAATGAAATAGAAATAAATATTATCAGAATTTTAACGGTGTATTTTTAAATTTGTAATTATCTGTATTTGTAAGTACAATTATTATTATAATTTGAAACTTTGATTAAATTGTGTGTATATAAGCTGTACTTTGTTAATAAAGTAAAAATGTTTGATTTTTAAAAAAAAATTGTCCATTCCTTGACTGAAGGACCTTCACTTTTATTTAAGCTCAAGTATCCCCCTAATAAGCTAATCTTCCACCCAGGGCCTCATCATGAGTGGGACAATGTTTACGTGTCCCTCAACTCCTGGGTCCTCTGACGTCCTGCTGGAGTTACTCACTGACCGTGTGGGCTGCAAAAGTGATCCAGGGGGTCCCCGCAATGTCAGTGAGATTGTCCGGTGTCTCCGAGACCTCCCAGCAGAAAGTTTCATACTGCCCCTTGAAGGCCAGTACACCAACAAGTTTACCACCATCGATGGAGAGCTCTTCCCAGCCCCAATAACCACTTTGGTAGAAGATCTGAGTTACCTGAAAAGTGTAGGGTTCTATGACAGAGACTACATAGTGAGTCTGACCAGCAATGAAGGAGCCATAGAATTTTTTGGACCTTTTGATTTACAGATTAGTAAGAAAAATTTATCTTAATGAATAATGAAATTATTTAAATGATAAAATTTGATTTTATTTTTTGTGCTTTGTGTTTTTAATTAGTAGGTTGATAGTTTTAATTTAACTCCCTGCCTTAGGTCAGATTATTGTTTTGTTGGTATTTCCTTGAAAAATTTTAAAAGAATGACAGAGTCGTGCAGTGTGTAGAATTTAAAAAAAAAAAAAATTAAAGAAATAAAATAAAAAATGTATTTTTAATATCCTGTTATTTGAATGGGACTTTTTAAATTAATGTCAAATTTGCTTGTTAAATTTTCTTATAGTGTGAAGAAAAAACGCTCTTGACATATTTTCTTAGTTCTTGTAGCTCGGTTTTTATTTAAATGTCTATTTTTAAAAAAACTTTTATGCTTAATGTCAGTATGGATTGTGACATTATATTGTTGCACGCTGCTTGTTTTTTAATGCTCGAGGCTAGTCTTGATTGCTAGATTAGCTGTTGATCCTGATTGTCAAAGGGCCACAGTAGTATTTTATGTATTCTTGATGTAAACATTGTATCTGTGATATCTTGTGTTGTTTTGGAGAAGTGTATGCAGATGTTTTAGTCAGTTACAGTGTGGTCTATGGGTGGATAGGTTGATATTATTTCTTCTAACAATTTTTCATATCAAGGTAATTATATTTGGACCAGATTATATGAGTTTTGAAGTTAAAGATAATATTGTTCCTTTTAGGTGATAATTTTATTTACTGTCAATTTACTTTTTACTGCTGACCATGTGGAAAGAATCATTGTCTTATAATCATCCACTAGACAAACAAGAGAGACTTATCACTCAATGATATTTTAACTTTATAGATTGGAACAAAACAAAGATGGTAGTTAATTATTTAATTGCAATGTTCAAAATCACCTGGCCTCCCTCCTGGGGGATTTTTTCTTTTCCTCCCCTGCCCATCCCCCTTCCAACAAAGGGGAAAAGGGGGGGGGGGGGGACACTTAAAATTCTCCTTCACCATTCATCTCAATCTTATTTTGACTAAAAAAGTCCCTTCATCATTCATCCCAGTCTTATTTTGACTAAAAAATTCCCCTTCGTCACTCATCCCAGTCTTAATTTGACTAAAAAATTCCCCTTCATCATTCATTTCAGTCTTATTTTGACTAAAAAATTCCCCATTGACCATTCATCTAAGTCTTTTTTTTACTACAAAAGTCCTCTTCACCATTCATCCCAGTCTTATTTTGACTAAAAAATTCCCCTTCATCATTCATACCAGTCTTATTTTGATTAAAAAATTCCCCTTCATCATTCATCCCATCTTATTTTGACTAAAACATTTCCCTTCACCATTCACCCCAGTCTTATTTTGACTAAAAATTTCCCATTGACCATTCATCTCAGTCCTTTTTTTACTACAAAAGTCCTCTTCACCATTCAGCCCAGTCTTATTTTGACTAAAACATTCCCCTTCGTCATTCATCCCAGTCTTATTTTGACTAAAAAATTCCCCTTCGTCATTCATCCCAGTCTTATTTTGACTAAAAAATTCCCCTTCGTCATTCATCCCAGTCTTATTTTGACTAAAAAATTCCCCTTCACCATTCATTCCAGTCTTATTTTGACTAAAAAATTCCTCTTCATCATTCATCCCAGTCTTATTTTGACTAAAACAATCCCCTTCACTATTCAGCCCAGTCTTATTTTGACTAAAACAATCCCCGTCACCATTCACCCCAGTCTTCAACAATTTTCTCATTTTCATATGCATCATTTGTCTCCAGATCCAGATGAAATTGACGCAGATTTTTTCAGCAAAAGGTTTCGCATCCCTCTCAGAATTGCGTCACAGATGCTAAAATTGTACAAGAATCCTGGTTTTTACAAGTACAATTCTGGCTATGATGCAGTGGCTGACCCAGTTATGGTGATTCCTACATTCAAATTTCTGGAATCTTTTGCAGCAAATCGACAAGAAGGTTAGTACTGGATTTAATAAGGGGCTGTATTAATTTTGTTTGCATGTTGTGTGGTTTTAAACCATTGGGTAATACCTGACTTGACATCCAGCCACTCAGAGGTAGAAAATAACATTTTGGTTGCATCAAGCCACTCAGAGGTAGAAAATAACATTTTGGTTGCATCAAGCCACTCAGAGGTAGAAAATAACATTTTGGTTGCATCAAGCCACTCAGAGGTAGAAAATAACAAACTGTCTCAGGTTAAGGGGCTGAGTTGTCAGAGTGCGAGGTAGTTGACTGAGTGGGAGATAGTTGGCTGACTGCGTGAGAGTTGTCTGAGTGGGAGGTAGTATTTTTTCGGTAGGTTTAGTGGGGGAGGATGTTGCGTTGAAATAACTTAGATGATATATTATATTTTTAACATGGCTATTATACTGAAACCACATATGCCATCTTATTTAGCCTCAAATGTTTCCGAACCCACATAAAAGTGTTGGCAACATAACTATTGGACAGTTCCATTGATATAAGATACACGCTTTATTCAATCCTTGTTAATGACTGTTATTTCTATTATTATAAAATCCAGCCATGGTAATCTGCACATGCAAAAGATGTACAACAACAACAACATTCTTATATACAAAACTTTTGCCTGACCCATTACGTTTTTTCTGTTTCAGATGTGAAAGGGAAGTCATACTTTTTGTGGTTTGACCACAGCCCTACTTTTATGCCTCTTACCATCCAGGGAATGGTGCATGGCTTAGACCTCACCTACCTGTTTGATCTCCAACCAAAAGAAATTCTCCACTTCTACTATGGTTTACAGGTGGACAAAGGATTTGAGCCTGAGGATTATGATCTTAAAAACCTCTATAATGCAATGTTAACTGACTTCATGAAGAAAGGGTAAGTGCTGGGGCATTAGAATTTAATGTGTGAAAAATAAAGTGGTTCATCACAATGTGCAGCAATGTTTTAATCTGTATTAATTTAACACTGTACGAGTGCAGTGTCATTTAATACATTGTGTTTGGCTTGCTTGGTGAGGTCAAAAAAAAACAATCCTATACATGGGAAAGAAAAATATAATGACTTATAAAAATAGAAAATTCTCACCAATCAAGAACTATAGAAGTTATACAAAGACTTTTAACTGTAGTATAAGTAGGGACTAAGTAAAAAGCCTGACTGCGCAGGATGGAAAACTTCTGGAGAGCGCCAGATTTTTCAGTCTGGTACAGTTCTCATGATTTCTGCCTCTTACTCTTACTTTTGAACCCATAATTTAGAAATTAAATAACTCATTAAGATTTTAGAATTGGGCTGTGTCCACCTCACAGTTGTTATGTGGAGCTGCCTGGGAACATTATCAAATGAGACCCTCAGATTGCTTTGAGTGGACAGACCTGATTCTTAACAACCAGACCAAACTGAATATTTATCAAAAGCCAATATAAAAATGATTTGCTTTTCTCCTTCCATCGTCAGAGACCCTGGGCTCTCCTTAAAACAGAAATTCGACATTACCTGGCCACCATTTGATCTGGAAGCGGAGCCTTACCTCTGCTACGGACCCACTCCTTCAGTTAGGCATCGCCCCATTTTTAAACGTAGACAACTCTGGCTTCAATTCCTGCCCTATCTTTTGTCGGAGCATTCACAGGAAAAATTGAAAGAAGAGCTGTAATGACATTATCGATGTCCATGTTGCTGATATGATATCGCCCAGCTGCAGTCTCAGGAATTTTTTTAAGGTAGGAATGAGATCTCTCAATGGAAGTAACGTCCAATATGATGTCTCCCGGTCTGGTGGCACCACTTGAACCACTGCGGCAACGTCCAATTTGATGTCTCCTGGTTGGTTGGCACCTCCTGAACCAGTGCAGTGTCCATTAATAGAAATTGCACCATAAACTTTTGTTGAATGTCTATTGTAAACAGAGCTAACAGAGATCTTGTATCAAAATATTATATTCTTCAGTATTACTTGTGGGAAATGATTTGTTGTGAAACGTATTGTACATTCCATCCATTTTTCAAAATGTTAATAATATCCCGATTATTGTGCTAATTTTACAAAACACTTTTTTAATGGCCACTTCTAATTCTATTCCCATGGTATTTAAATGAATCCTATCAGGTGTACACATCTTGATGAGATTTTTTGTGTAATTGAGCCAAGTGCCACTTGAAATATAGTGTGATAGTCAGCAGTCAAACTGGGCGTCCCTTTTGTTAACATAACATAAAATGTTCGTTTCATAAGTTTCATTTTTTTTTAAACCTTGAGTTGTTGAGACTTGAAGGAAAGTAATTTTGTATATTTGTAGAGACATGAGCGATTACAATTAGAAGCTTAGTCGAAAGCCAAATTTGATAGTCTCTTTTCAGTTAATGTCATTGAAAAGTAACTTTTCTGCTAAGATATGTGAATGAATAGCAGGTCAGGCCCCATTTTAAGTGACATGGTCCAAATGCCAGAAGGCTGTTATCAGTGAATAAAACCTGAGTCAGTGAGAATTAAAGGTCACCACCATAAGAAATATGATCTTAACACTTTTTAAACTGCAGTTGTTGTACAATTTGTATGTTGTAATATGAGTTTTTTGTAAATCAATGTTTTCTAATGTATTTAAAAAATTTTTTTATTGTAACTTTGTTTGCTATATCATGAAAAAGATTCTTATAGAAACTGTGGACTGGTTGATATTGCATGTCATTGGGTTTAATATTTTTTTAAAAACTAATAACCAGAGAATTATTACAACACTGTAACACTTGAGAAAGAGTATTTAAATGTAATGATGCCAAGTCAGTCTACAGTCTACGGGTGTTAAAATGTTATAAACATAAACATGAAATGTTTTTGTGAAAGACGTCTGAGTAAAGTTGCTCTGGAACCTTTTCATGCTCTGGAGCTGGTTCGGACCCACCAGTCGGTAAATTTTTACCCCAGTTGTTAAAAATGTGAAAATTAAAAAAAATTCCAAAAAAGACACAGACTTTCTTTCTAATTTCTATAATCTAAGTAATGAACCGGTTTTTTGCTTGATTGACAGCACACTGCAGTCTGTACTTATTGTATTATTAGATGACAGTCGTAGTTATATTAACTAAGTGACAGACATCTGAGTATGACATTCTCAGGATGTTCCATTTGGTTTTCCCGAAGCACTTTCAAATTTAGAATAAGGATCGGGTAACAATAATCTAGACAGACACGAATTATTAGGCACTTGACACTAAAGATTATATCACATTTTCCCAGTTACTTTTTAAGTGGTTAATAGTCATAAGCTTTAAATTTAGTAGGTACTGTAAGTGTTGGCAGTAATTAGTTGAAATGTTTGACTTTTGGAGGCCCCCTGTGTGTGTGGGGAGGGGGGTTCAGAGGTGTCTACTGACTTTTGGAGGCCATTGAGTGTGTGGGAGAGGGGGTGTTCAGAAGCGTCGATTGAGTTTTGGAGGCCCTGACTTTTGGAGGGCCCTGTGTGTGTGTGGGGAGGGGGTTGGTGTTCAGAGGGGTCCATTGACATTTGGAGGCTCCTTGTGGGGGGGGGTGGGGGGTTCAGAGGTCTCGACTGTCTTTTGGACCAGTTCATTGTAATATATGAGACTCCCTGCAGTCGCAAGGATTGCGGTGCCGACCCGATGGGTGCATTGGACTCAATTAATTGGGTCTGCTGTAAATAGTTATAGATAAACGGAACAAAACACGAAACATTTGTTTAATAAATTCCTTCCTAATTTTATTAAGTTAAGGTACTCCCTTCCCTACACCCTCCATCCACCTTCACTACACCCTCCATCCATCTTCAGTAAAACCTCCATCCACCTTCAGTACACCCTTTATCCACCTTCCCTACACCCTCCATCCACCTTCAGTACACCCTCCATCCACCTTCAGTACATCCTCCATCATCCTTCACTACACCATCCATCCTCCTTCACTGCACCCTCCATCCACCTTCACTTCAGGCTCTATCCACCTTCTTTACACCCTACATCAACCTTCACTACATCCTCCATCCACCTTCACTTCACTATACATCCACCTTCCCTACACCCTCCGTCCACCTTCAATACACCCTCCGTCAACCTTCACTACACCCTCTATCCACCGTCACTACACCCTCCATCCACCTTCAGTACACCCTCCATCAAACTCAACTACACCCTCCATCCACCCTCACTACACCCTCCATCCACCTTCAGTACACCCTCCATCCACCTTCAGTACACCCATTATCCACCTTCCATACACCCTCCATCAACCTTCAGTACACCATCCATCCACATTCAGTACACCCTTTATCCACCTTCCATACACCCTCCATCAACCTTCCCTACACCCTCTATCCACCTTCACTACACCCTCAATTCCAACTTCCCTACACCCTCTATCCACCTTCACTACACCCTCCATCCACCTTCACTACACTCTCCATCCATCTTCACTGCACCCTCCACCCATCTTCCTGCACCCTCCATCCACCTTCACTACACCATCCATCCTCCTTCACTGCACCCTCCATCCACCTTCACTTCAGGCTCTATCCACATTCCCTACACCCTACATCAACCTTCACTACATCCTCCATTCACCTTCACTTCACTCTACATCCACCTTCCCTACACCCTCCATCAACCTTCAGTACACCCTCCATCCACCTTCAGTACACCCTTTATCCACCTTCCATACACCCTCTATCCACCTTCACTACACCCTCAAATCCAACTTCCCTACACCCTCATCCACCTTCATTACACCCTCCATCCACCTTCACTACACCCTCCATCCACCTTCACTGCACCCTCCACCCATCTTCCTGCACCCTCCATCCACCTTCACTACAACATCCATCCTCCTTCACTGCACCCTCCATCCACCTTCACTTCAGGCTCTATCCACTTTCCCTACACCCTACATCAACCTTAACTACATCCTCCATCCATCTTCACTTCACTCTACATCCACCTTCCCTACACCCTCCGTCCACCTTCAATACACCCTCGGTCCACCTTCACTACACCCTCTATCCACCGTCACTACATCCTCCATCCACCTTCAGTACACCCTCCATCAAACTCAACTACACCCTCCATCCATCCTCACTACACCCTCCATCCACCTTCAGTACACCCTCCATCCAACTTCAGTACACCCTTTATCCACCTTCCATACACCCTCCATCAACCTTCACTACACCCTCCATCCACCTTCAGTACACCCTCCATCGACCTTCACTACACCCTCCATCCATCTTCCCTCCAACCGCCATCCACCTTCCCAACACCCTGAATCCACTTTCACTACACCCTCCATCCAACTTCACTACACCCTCCATCCACCTTCACTCACCCTCAATCCAACTTTCCTACTCCCTCCATCCTCCTTCATTACACCATCCATTCAATTTCACTACACCCTCCGTCCACCTTCACTAAACCCTCCGTCCACATTGGTAACACCCTCCATCCACCTTCCCTACACCCTCCACCCACCTTCACTACACCCTCCATCCACCTTTACTACACCCTCCATCAATCTTCACTACACCCTCTATCCACCTTCACTACACCCTCTATCCACCGTCACTACACCCTCCATCCACCTTCCCTCCAACCGCCATCCACCTTCCCAACACCCTGAATCCACTTTCACTACACCCTCCATCCAACTTCACTACACCCTCCATCCACCTTCAATCACCCTTAATCCAACTTTCCTACTCCATCCATCCACCTTCACTACTCCCTCCATCCACCTTCAGTACACCCACCATCCACCTTCACTACACCATCCATCCACCTTCAGTACACCCTCCATCCACCTTCACTACAGCTTCCATCCACCTTCCCTACACCCTCAATCCACCTTCACTACACCCTCCATCCACCTTCACTACGCCCTCCACCCATCTTCACTACACCCTCATTCCACCTTCAATACACTCTCCATCCACCTTCCCTACCCCCTCCATCCACCTTCCCTACACCCTCCATCCACCTTCCTTACACCCTCGATCCACTATCACTACTCCCTCCATCCACCTTCACTACACCTTCCAACCACCTTCCCTACAACCTCCATCCACCTTCCCTACACCCTCCATCCATCTTCACTACACCCTCCATCCACCTTCACTACACCCTCCATCCACCTTCCCTACACCCTCTTTCCACCTTCCCAACACCCCCCTCCACNCACCCTCCATCCACCTTCACTACGCCCTCCACCCATCTTCACTACACCCTCATTCCACCTTCACTACACTCTCCATCCACCTTCCCTACCCCCTCCATCCACCTTCCCTACACCCTCCATCCACCTTCCCTACACCCTCCATCCACCATCACTACACCCTCCATCCACCTTCACTACACCTTCCAACCACCTTCCCTACAACCTCCATCCACCTTCCCTACACCCTCCATCCATTTTCACTACACCCTCCATCCAACTTCACTACACCCTCCATCCACCTTCCCTACAACCTCTTTCCACCTTCCAAACACCCCCATCCACTTTCACTACACCCTCAATCCAACTTCACTACACCCTCCATCCATCTTCCCTACACCCTCCATCCACCTTACCTTCACCATCCATCCACCTTCAGTACATCCTCCATCCGCCTTCACTACACCCTCCATCCGCCTTCCTTACACCCTCGATCCACCATCACTACTCCCTCCATCCACCTTCCCTACAACCTCCATACACCTTCCAAACACCCTCCATCCACTTTCACAACACACTCCATCCAACTTCACTATACCATCCACCTTCCCTACACCCTCCATCCGCCTTCACTACACCCTCCATCCACCTTCCTTACACCCTCCATCCACCATCACTACTCCCTCCATCCACCTTCACTACACTCTCCATCCACCTTCCCTACACCCTCCATCCACCTTACCTGCACCCTCCATCCACCTTCAGTACATCCTCCATCCACCTTCCCTACACCCTCCACCCACCTTCACTACACCCTCCATCCACCTTTACTACACCCTCCATCCATCTTCACTACACCCTCTATCCACATTCACTACACCCTCCATCCACCCTCACTACACCCTCCATCCACCTTCAGTACACCCTCCATCCACCTTCAGTACACACTTTATCCACCTTCCATACACCCTCCATCAACCTTCACTACACCCTCTATCCACCTTCAGTACACCCTCCATCCACCTTCAGTACACCCTTTATCCACATTCCCTACACCCTCCATCAACCTTCACTACACCCTCCATCCACCTTTAGTACACCCTCCATCGACCTTCACTACACCCTCCATCCATCTTCCCTACAACCGCCATCCACCTTCCCAACACCCTCAATCCACTTTCACTACACCCTCCATCCAACTTCACTACACCCTCCATCCACCTTCACTCACCATCAATCCAACTTTCCTACTCCCTCCATCCTCCTTCATTACACCATCCATTCAATTTCACTACACCCTCCGTCCACCTTCACTACACCCTCCGTCCACATTGGCTACACCCTCCATCCACCTTCACTACAGTCTCCATCCACCTTCCCTACACCCTCAATCCACCTTCACTACACCCTCCATCCACCTTCACTACACCCACCATCCACCTTCACTACAACCATCAATCCACCTTCACTACACCGTCCATCCACCTTCCCTACACCCTCCATCCACCTTCACTACGCCCTCCACCCATCTTCACTACACCCTCAATCCACCTTCACTACACTCTCCATCCACCTTCCCTACACCCTCTATCCACCTTCCCTACACCCTCCATCCACCTTCCTTACACCCTCGATCCACTATCACTACTCCCTCCATCCACCTTCACTACACCCTCCAACCACCTTCCCTACAACCTCCATCCACCTTACTTTCACCCTCCATTCAATTTCACTACACCCTCCGTCCACCTTCACTACACCCTCCATCCGCCTTCCTTACACCCTCGATCCACCATCACTACTCCCTCCATCCACCTTCACTACACCCTCCATCCACCTTCCCTACAACCTCCATCCACCTTCCCTACAACCTCCATCCACCTTCCAAACACCCTCCATCCACTTTAACTACACCCTCCATCCACCTTCACTACTCCCTCCATCCACCTTCAGTACACCCTCCATCCACCTTCCCTACACCCTCTATTCTCCTTCCCTACACCCTCTATCCCCCTTTACTACAACCTCCATCCACCTTCACTACAACCTCTATCCCCTTTACTTTCAACAATATGTGCTATCGCTACACTCTCCATCCCCTTTCCTGAACCAGAGTCCGTTTTTCAAATTACTTCAAGTGCATTAAACAGGGCACCCTCTTTACCAGCTAATCATTTTAGCCTTGTAAACTCAGTTCTACACAGGGTGCTTTCCATATAGTCCGTAAGCAAAAAATTCAACGTTTCTACCCCAGACCCCCTGTTGTATGAGTATTTTATGGAAACTACATTGAATAAATAAAATGATATTTTTCCCCACCCCAAAATCTGTTTATCTTTAGATAATTATTACTTCATAGGAATAAATGTGTCATGACCATTTGGCGAAAACAGTGGTTCCCAAACAATGTTTCTCCATTGTGTCACGCGTTGCCCTCGAAATGTTTTTGAACGGGTTCAATCGCACCTGGTTGCCAATTACAAGGGTTTGTTGTTTTTTTTTGGGGGGTGGGGGGCTAAAATTGTCTTTAGATAGGACCTTTAAAGGGATTTAAACTATAAATCCCATGTACTTTAACCATGACTTAGCACGCGAAAAATTGTATTTTTACCGGGTGGCACTTTTTATATATAGTGGGGTGATATGGCACGACGCTGCTCTTGGGTGCGTAGGCCTCCTCATAAGGAGGTGCCGGGATGTATGACACAATTACTCATTTTATTTACCCTTTTAATCGAATGTGACGTCTAGTGGGCCTGGATAGAACAGCAACTCTCTTGAGTAATGACCGTTTGCTGTTACTGAAATGTTACATTAAGAAATGGCGTCAGCGGGTCGAGTCTAGACTCATATGCCCCCCCCCCCAAATTCCCCCTCCCCGGTCCGACGTATCGGGCCGCGGAGCGGCACGTTGGAAATGCCCACTCGTCAGGATGGCCCCCACACGGGCCCCTCACCCAAGTCCCCGCATGGGCGCCTGGGCGCTCGACCAGGACCCTGCCTGGGGGCCGCCCCAACGAGGAGGCACCCGGTTGATCCGACACTATGGGTGCACTCGATCGACTTTCTCAGGAGTTGGGATGGAAAAAAATTACGTCCTAATATCTTCCCCCACCCATCCTGGGAAAGCGTCGGACGCCCTATAAGAGGGATTCCACAGTGGGCTTCCACAACGCGACTAGTTCACGCTGTAGCTGGGAGGGAACGCTGTTTGCTGTTACTAAATGACGCTATATCTCCCGGGGGCAACTGTGACAACACAAGGCAACATTACGACGATAATTCCTACAAAATATATCGTGATATTTCTACTGCATTAGACTGGGATATTTAAGAGGCTATTTATGGACGTACAGAATTTCCGTATAATCATTGCAGAATTTGTGAATACATGTACGTACTTTCTACCCAGGAACGGCCCCCCCCCACCCGGGGGCGATACGTGCGGGCACTTAAACTCACCAAAATCGACTACCCCCCCCCCCCCCCCACTCATCGCGTACGTGTTACAAGGATGGTCCTATTCTCATACACGTTTAAATTGTGGGTTTAAAATTTCCTCCTTATTTACGGTTGCCAAACAGCGGCGTAAAATCATTACATTTTTGTACGCCCACGTCATAATTATGTGATCGACAGCCCATTGTATGTACGCATAAGGGGGGCAGGGGATTTACGCGTGCAACAGGAGGGGAGGGCAGGGACGTCAATGGGGTAGGGCAGGACGGGGTATTTGCCCCCCCCCCAACTTTGCATGTTTTATTTAAATTGATATGTACCCTGGCGCCTCCAGTAGTAAACAACTTAACATGCCGACAAGTTGTGGTTTTGCCACCACCACCCCCCCCCCCCTATTTGAAAAAAAAACCTGAAATGTCGCCCCTGGGGGAGGGGGTTGAAACTTTGACTTGCTTTGCTTACGTATTATATGGGTGGCCCTATGACACTGCGGCGCACGATACTGCGTCAGATGATAGTAGTTGTCGCCATGACACACTTGTGATATATTTATTTTTCATACATTTCCAATGTCTACGGTTTAGCCGCGGGTAGAATTCGAAAAAAAAATACAACAACAAAATCAACAACAACAACAACAAAGTAATAGCGAGGGAGCAGTAGATTTAAAGCCTGATAAAACTTGAAATCTATCTACCGTTATAATGATATACATAAAACGGGAATGTCACTGGTAGTTTTCATGTGACTGGCAGCAGCGGATGCTATACTTGTCCCTTTACAAGTGTTTAGCGCGGCCAAACTGGCGTCAGTCATAATTTTAGACGATATGCAATCATACTACACTAGTTTAAAGGAATTTTTATCTTAAATAACATAATGTGAACACATCTTGTTTATTGTTTAAAAAAAAAAAAAAAAAAAAAACACCATGAATACATTTCTTGTTGACCAGACACCCCAAAAATTGAAGGAATTTTTTATGCTGATTATCAAACTTGGTTACTAGAACTTCACGACACTGAGGTATAGCCAATCGCAGATGTTTTGAATTCTCCTACTATCATACGATTCTTTACTACAACAAGGACAGCAAGGATGAAGCTGTTTCTCATTTTCAAAGTAATTGTGGTTTTTCAAATTGGGACAATCACATCTGGTAATGATTGATTTTAATATAATCTAGTGTTCTTTTTTTACATCCATAAAATACCCCTTCAGCACTTTGCTTTGTAAACTTTCTAATAACAGGTACAAACATTTTTGTTTTAAAACTATTTCGTAATTAGAACTGTAAAGTTGGTCTTAAATTCTAAAATGCTTGAGTCTAATACACCTCTTTTTTTTTTTTTAAATTTATAAAAAAATTGTTTGTGTATTAAACTTGAAAAAAAATTTCATTAGGATTATTACGGAAGATGGAATAAGCTCTAATTATTTTATTTTTCACCACCATTCGTTTGGTATTACACTAGAATCACTGTCAATTTTAATAGTACTATTTTGAACAGACCAATATTTAATAGTCTTTTAGAAATATAACCATTAATTTATACAGACAATTAAAATTACAATGAAAAAGAGAGAAAGCGATATCTCATAATATAATTCCCCGAGCGGATATTTTCCGCCCCACTCTCAATGCGCACCGTGATGCGCTCTCATTCCCTGCTTCCCATCATCGTGTGTTTGATTACTACGAACGCACCAAAATGCACACAAAAAAGAACACATTTTAAAACAAGCATGGGGTTAGTATACGGAAATAACGTCATAAAATTACACCATGAGTTTAGCTAGGGTTGGTGTCACCCGGTGCGGTAACCTCATGGTGTCACCCTACCACCCCCAAATTCCCATGATGGATTCTTCTTGTAAAAATAAGTCCACAGTATAACAATGAAAAGAACAAACAAAAAAAAAAAACACACATTCAGAGAAAGTCATGAGGTCAATGTATTTCAAAACTGTAACAACTTTAAGTAATACTTATTTGACATTAAATTTACTTTATTTAAAATTTTCCATTCCTGTTCGTCAAACCTGGAAACCTGTCAATCACTTGATCAAAAGACCGAGCAGCGTGTGCTTTGTATGCAAGTTCTCAATTGGGTGTCACCCCTAAACTAGTGTCAACTGGTTCGGTCCTCACCCGCGCACCTTATAGCTACGTCACTGGGTTGCGTTGCCCAAGATATATATATATATATATATATATATATATATATATATATATATATATATATATATATATATATATATATAGAGAGAGAGAGAGAGAGAGAGAGAGAGAGAGAGAGAGAGAGAGAGGAAGAGAGGAAGAGAGAAAGAAATNTTTGTAGAGAGAGAGAGAGAGAGAGAGAGAGAGAGAGGAAGAGAGAAAGAGAGAAAGAAAGATAGCGATAGAGAGAAAGAGAGATAGAGAGAGAGCAAAAGAGAGAGCTAGGGAGAGAGGAAATAGCGAGAGAGAGAGAGAGAGAGAGAGAGAGAAAGAGAGAAAGAGAAACACACACAAGGCCATGATAATGATATGCAATGATGTTTCACCTATGAGGGGTGGGTCAACAATAATACATTTTTGTCCGTAATGGCAAATGTAAAATTCAGAATGTTAAATATATATATATTTTTTTAAATGACGCTGTTGATATGTTTTACTATTTTATCATTTAGTTAGCCCTCAATTTTTACACACACAAAAAAAAAAAAAAACCCAACAATATTAATAATTAAAATAACCACAAACACACGCAAAAAAATCAACAAAAAAACACGCCCTTATAAGGCATAACAAACACCGGTGAATCTACGTTTTCTATAAAATTTTCAAAGTTGCTTGTTAGTAATTGTGAATTTAAATGTATATTTTTAAAAAAAAATTGTTAAAGCTGCCAGGACACGTTAGGAGAGGAACATGGTGATAGAGTTGAAAATCCCACATATGCTTAGTGTAAACCCATAGCTGATTTAAAGAATTCACTGTCATTTATTTAGCACACACAAAAAAAAAAAAAAAAAAAAAAAAAAAAGTTCAAGATCTGATTGTTGTTGTTAATAAGTTTGGCTTAATTTCTTTCAGGTGCAGAATGTCCAGTATTTCATTTCAACGAGACGACTCAGATCATGACAAGCCCAAATTTCCCTTCCAGCTACCCAGACAATTACGCGTGCTCAAAGTTGTTCGTTAACAGTAATGAAGGCCCTATTGAATTCAGGTAAATCAAATTTAAAATAAATCAAGTTATTATTTTTTTCAAAAGTGAAATCTTGTAATAATTATAAAGCTAGAAAGATTGAAAGTTTGCCCATATCCCACATCTCATTTAAAGCACCCCCCCCTCCGGCCCAGGGATGTCTTTTGCGTAGGGCATCCCCCACACCCACCCCTTAATTTGCAAGTTTTATTTATATTGCTATGTACTATGGTGCCTCCAGTAATAAACAACTTNGTTCATTAGTAACTAAATATCTACTGTAATATGGATATCTACAACGTTAAACGATATTAGGATCTCCGGTTAAACTGAGTTCCACAAGAGGAATTAAACGGCCACTTTGTCAATATCCGACCTTGCCGTTTAAAGTGTGAAATGTATTGTAAAAACTGGTACCCAATTTAAAACCGGATTCCTAAAACAGACACCAGGCTGCTAAAAAGAAAAAAAAAGCTATTATAGGATCTTCCCGAGTTAAGACTGATCGCAATTAATTAATATACGGCGGATGCAAAAAATATTTTTTTTAAAAGTAAGCTTAGACTACTTAGAGAGCAACATCTCCCATCCACACAAATTGTTATTGTAAATTATGTTCACTTCCTTAAATGATTTACTAGCCACGCCTTTTTAAATGTTGTTTTTGGGGGTAAAATTCCTCTCAAGATTTTCATTGAACGATTTATTTAATTACTTTACGTTGTTCTTTTTGTGCGTATGCCCTTTTTTGTCAAATTGAAAGATTGTGTATTTGAACTTCATCTGATAATGTGGTATCTCTTAGTCACTAGCACAGTGGTTCTCAACCTTTCTAGTGCCGCGACCCCTTAATACAGTTTCTCGTGTCGTGGCGACTCCCCAGCCACACAATTATTTTCGTTGCTACTTTTTATAGCTGTAAGGATATATGTTTTCAGATGGTCTTAGGCGACCCCTGGAAAAGGGTCCCGTGACCCCCAAAGGGTCGCGACCCACAGGTTGAGAACCGCTGCACTAGCAGATTCTGAGTGCATTCGTTAATTTTGGCATTGTTTCCCACTGCACAGTGTTCTCAGTTATTGGCGCAACAGGGGTGGCCCGGGGTTGGGGGGGGGGGCGATGATGCCACCGCCCGAGAAAAAAAATAATGCTGAGCAATTTAGGACCGATTTCTTAACAGGGATCTTTGCTCAGCTTATGGCGACAATACAATAGGGAAAACCAAAGTTATATAAACATTGTGCATTATTGTACAGTGTATTAATAATACCTCCGGGGGCGGGTGGACACCATGAGTTGTACCGCACCGGGTGACACCAACCCTTGGTACGCCACTGAGAATGATATCACGTCAAAAGCAATGAGGCCTATTTTCTACGCAACTATGTGTTTCCGAAGCCAGAGGTTAGAATAAAATCCGAGGTCACTTGATCTATGCAGGCGTGCATACCGCATTGTTACCAGTGCAGGCCCCACTTTATTCCATCTAATGTAAATCTCAAAATTAACTGCACAAGATCAAAGGTTGCAAAAAAAAAAAAAAGGTTTAAATATTTATTTTGAAAACAATAGCAAAAAACTAAATTTCCGCTTATAATCAGGAGATGTCTATACCAGATAGACTACGTCATATACATTTATAAATTTGAGTTTTGCATTATTCCCGTTTTGTCTGGTCGCCTCATGTACAGTAGGTTTGGGACCAGAATCACTTTCCGGTGTTTGTACGCAATTATGATATGACGTTCACATTGCATACGGAAATAATAATAATTATTTATTTAAAAAACAAGCACGGGTAGTTCGTATAACCGAAGTTTTGGATACATGGTATTCGGAAAATCGACACTCTGGTGTACGGAAAATTGGGGGGTGGGGGGGGAGCGGACTGGCAAAACTTGTGGAGCTCGTTCCAGGCGGTATTTAGTCAAGGTTCGCCACTGTTTTTATGAGCCCCACAAGTCTATCAAATAGCTGAGAACGACTGCACTGACAGGAGATAGAAAGTGATCTAGTTTAAATTTATCTTGGTGTCTTTTGACCGCTTATATTTGTCTCTAAACCTACCCTGCAAATTTTTCTTTCAGAATAATTCAGATGTCTACAGAAGGCCAATACCCTTGTAGGTACGATTATTTGATGGTCTATGATGGTAGAAACGCGAATTCTCAATTAATTGGAACATACTGTGGTAGTGAAAGAGCCGTCTTAAGATCTTCTCGTAGCGCTTTGTATGCCACTTTCAGAACGGACGGTTCTGTAACATCATCTGGTTTCAGTGTTAGCGTCTCTAACATAGGTAGGTAACCAGACACGTTATATAGGTAACAGCGAAACCTTATTATTTTGTTAGTTTGTTTATTTGTGGTTTTCACATTGGATTTTCTCCCCATATTTGAAGATAATCCTTGGTTAAATCCAAAGAGTTTGGAGTCATGAGTTTCATTCTTTTACTTTCATATTACTGTTAAGCATAAGAATGATCAGTGGCGTAGCTAGGGAATGCGGGGGTGCGCACCACACAGGGTGACACCATCTCAGGGGGTGACACCAAATTAAAAAAAAAAATTGCATATTTAAAGAGCACACACTGCTCAGTCTAACAGAATTTCTTATAAGGATAACGGATCACACTTACGTTTTTCACACATGTTACCAATCAAAATGCGTGCTTTATTAAAGTTCAAGGTTGTCAGAAATATAGTGAACATACAATCAATTAAGTCAGAAAAACACCTCTTTGACCATGATTCAACGTGGATTTAACAAGAAGAAAGCCATCGTGGAAGTCGGGGGGAGGAGGGGGGCGGGGTTGACACCATGAGTTTACCGCACCGGGTGACACCATCCCTTGCTACGCCACTGAGAATGATATAAATTTTAGTGAAAATAACATTGAGAAATTATGAAAATGTAGATAGACAACTTTAGACAGCCAATTTAAAGAACCAGGCAAAAAAGCAAACCAGCTTCCTTGACATTCATGATGTCACTATCGAAGATGATTTTCTTTGGCTTCCCAAGAGGGTCTCTCAATTTAATGCTTCCTCTAACTGTGCATCTTTGCTTTGTGCCAGAATTCTCTGAATATTAAGTTCTGGGGAAAAACATATTTTTTTCTTTAATTATTAATTGGCTTTCCTTCAACAATTATATCCGTAAAAACTGCTCGTTAATTCCATTAATTTCTATAAATTATATTGTGTTGGTTTTAGCAGTTATTTTTTTTACCATCTGCTTAGTCCAATGAACCAATTGCTGACGAACACCAATGTTAACCGTCTCTTACCTGAACTGAACTTCACACGACGATTATAATTATAGCCACACATTTTTATTTCCCGAACGAGGATAAAATAAACTTTTTTTTTTTTTCAATGCAATCAGGATTTCTTTCAGGCAAATCTGGGGGGGGGGGGGGAAGAACTGCCGGGAAAGTCAAGTGCCCCCCACCTTAGCAAAATGAGTACAACGATATAAAGATTATAGACTATACTTTTTTAAAAAAGAAAACTACTAAATGTTCTTTTTTATACAGTTTTAAAAATATTAATATCTGGTGCCTTTTACCGATTATAGTTAGTGGAATATATGAAATGTCTATGCTGGATATATTTGATGATCAGCATATTGAAAAAGTCTAATCTTGTTAAAGACATATATTTTTCGATTATAAATATCACACTGGCCGCTCCTGATTATAAATCGAAGTCTTACTTTCATGTAGTTCGCATATATCGGTATTTAAAATAATTTTTTTTTTTAACATCACAAGTGTAAAGATAAAAATAACACCGCATCAATACCTCATTAATATCACTGTCTACAATTTTAATTAGGGGTGTGCCGGAATCCGGTCCGGAATCCGGTTCCACCGTATTTTGCACTATCCGGTGAAATCCGGTTCCGCCGGATTTACATGTATCAGGAACAACCGGAATCCGGAATATACCAGATTTCGGAATTTGCCAGATTTTGTGACTCACCGTATCATAATCTGAAATAAAAGTAATTCTCTTTCCCGAATTCCACACGATCACGATACATTAATCAATTGTTTGGAGCGTTGAGCTTGTTTAATGTTTAATATTCCGAACATACCAGAGGCTAGAGTCAGCACCGCTAATAGTGGCCAGTGCCAATAGTACTAACATCCGGAATCCGTGAGAAACCGGAATCCGGATTATTCCGGAATCTGGATCCGGCGGATTTCGCATAAGAAAATCCGGATCCGGATCCGGTTGGAAAAAACGGATCCGGCACACCCCTAATTTTAATACTAATTTTTGCTAAGTTTCAAACATGCGCAATCTATTTTTAAAAAAATATTTCATCATAAAAGCATGACTTTTAAAGTAGGGCTAAGTGTTGATTATACATTGTATGATGGCGTTCTTCTTTAAAAATATTTCATCATAAAAGCATGACTTTTAAAGTAGGGCTAAGTGTTGATTATACATTGTATGATGGCGTTCTTCTTTAAAAATATTTCATCATAAAAGCATGACTTTTAAAGTAGGGCTAAGTGTTGATTATACATTGTATGATGGCGTTCTTCTTTAAAAATATTTCATCATAAAAGCATGACTTTTAAAGTAGGGCTAAGTGTTGATTATACATTGTATGATGGCGTTCTTCTTTAAAAATATTTTTATTTGCATAACTTTAAATTTAGTCGACGTCATGTGTGTTGAGTTATACAAAATGGATATTTAACGGACGCGTACAAAAAGTGTACATTTCATCAACTATTATATGGAAAGAGTTTGTGTTTTCATTTAATATGATCTTTTTGTAACAATGTTTCCTATATTACAGAGATTAAAAAAAAATAAAAATACGTAGCCTATATTTAATATGACCCACCTATTTGCACAGATTTTGAAATTTGTTTCTCTTTTCTAGATAGATATCTTTCTGAAAATTAAACAAAACAAATCAAAGCAAAAATAAAAAGATTTTCGCGAACTAGCATTTCGATGATCAAGTAAATTCTATTTCAAAAAAAAATTATTGGTACTAAATCAATGGTTCTTAACCTGGGTTCGACCGAACCCCAGGGGTTTGGTGAGGCAGTCTCAGGGGTTCGGCGGAGGTAAAAAAACAACAACAAAAAAACAGAAATAAATCATTTTTTAATTTTTCCTATTATATGAAGGATTCTGTGAATGCGCATATGAAACTGGTGGGGTTCAGTATCCCTAACAAGGTTAAGAACCACTGTACTAAATTAATAAAGAATTAAGCATGCTACCCAGACGACCCCACCAATCAAGATTAATCGGCGCCCTCAATTTCTGCCCTACTTCCCGAGGAAGATGAGAGCCAGAATGATCAATTCATTGATCGTGGGCCCTCAAAATAAAGAAGAAGAAGAAGATGAACGCCGATGTTGGTATCGCTTGATACACTGCCTAGGGGCGCAGCTACCGTTAGTGCTGCTATGGGCGGGAACATATTTTTGCCGTCCTCCCTTTCAAGATACAAGGTCTGCAGTTGTCCGACAATGCCAAACCTTCATACAGAGCCGTTCTTAGGCATAGGAAAATTAGGCAACCCTAGGGCCCCACTACCATGGGTGCCCGCAGAAAACTTTCTAGGGGGGGGGGCAAAAAAAATCGATTAACTTTCCAGGGGGGGCAAGTGCCCCACCTTGCCCCTACCTGCGGGCGCCCATTCCCACTAAAAAGGAGGTTCCGGCGGGCTCTTTTTTTGTTGCCTACAACTTGAAAATCCATATATTTCAGAAATACACATTTTCTCTAGTGGCGGAATTATCAATATGGTTAGTGATTACACGCAAGCAAAGAGGAAACAGTAACGAACGCAAAGTGGAGGTGCCGCAGTGGTTGGTGATGCTTTCTCCTCTGCTTCGGGGGCCCCCTACATGCGCTCCATGCATAGGGCCCCCAAAATCTTAAGAAAAGCTCTGCTGCATATATAGTGTTGGCGTCAGGGGAGAAGATTAATTTTTATGCCTCCCCCCCCCACCCTCACCATTCTGAAACTAACTATTTTCAACCATTAAAACAATCAAAGCCCATTTCCTCCTAGTCTGGCACCCCCGGGACACATGCCCCTTATATGCCACCCCTTACCTACGCCTCTGGTCACTGGCAAGTGTCACAGCCCTCCCACCACCCCTAAAATTTGAATACCCCCCTCCCCCAGGGGAAAAATGTCGGAAAGAAACACTGAATGTGATGGCCCTAGCAATTATCGTTTTGAGGACCGTTAAACAAATTGTTAAAAAAATCGCAGAAACAATAAATGATGACGGACTATTATACAATTCACTTTAAAATATACTATGAACGTATTATAGAATGTAAAAACATCTCGTAGATAATAAGTCAGTAACATCTAACCAACCACTGGCCTATTATTGATACCATACACACCCGCAGTTGGCTACGTAGAATAGCGTCAATACAGTGTGCGGTGGAGACATTAAATGTGAAATTGAACATTTCATAGAGCTTGCGCGGGTCACTTTCTTAAAAAGATTGCAATTAAATACAAGAGCTAGATACCACTAGAACAGGGTGCCATTAAACAGGTGTCATGGCCTGTGTATTGACCTAGTTTTTGTTGTTGTTTTGTTCACCACCAGCCGTGGCAATCAACCCTAACTCCCCATCCACCTTTTTTTATTTTGATGTCACTGATTAAACCCTCGACCCAGTTTCATAAGCAATCGTATATATTAAAAAAAAAACAACACAAGATCAGGGTATCGCCAAAACAGGGCGCCACCAGAATTGGGTGCATCCTTAACAAGATGCCACCAGAATTGTAACATGATTTGTTTTTCACTTTTAAATTAAATTCATAGTCTCTCTATAGTTTCTCATATTTTCAAAGGGTACGATGCACTTAGTCCATGTGTCCGTTCAGCTCAGTGCAAAAGTCCATTGATCTGCAAAAATGGCCGATGTGACTGCCCTGATGAATATTTGAACTCTCATACAGGCTTATGTAACCCAAGTAAGGCATGCAAGTCATCTCCTAATTGTTAAAATATTGTTAATAAAGAATGTAGTATATTTAAAAGCACTTTAAAATAAACCATACTTATTAAGTAAGCAATTATATATGGGCTAATATTTGTAAAGAAATATATAAAATCAATCATTCAACCATCAGCTAATTAAAGAGTCATAAAGCTGATTTGTAAGATACTATTCTTTATTTCTATTATTACTGAATACTACTTTAAAATTATTATTTTATTTTTAAATGCAACAAAATATTATTTCTTCTTACAACAAATAGGGCCTACATTATTTAATCCACTTAGTAAAAAAAAAATTAAATTCAAATAAAATAGAGGAGTTTAAATTTTGAATTTTAGATTTTTAAATGATAATCCCATTTAATTTCGAATTAAATAAATATATCAAAGAATCAAATTCTTTGGGTGATTTTTAAAAATCTGAGTCAGCATATCGGAATTAAAATTACTATCTTTAATTCTATGAAATACTTTTCTTAAATTTTTAATATGTTATGTTGTATCAAAATATTTTTTTAAATATATTAATAAGTGTTAAAACACAAATACAACAGAAAATAAGAAAAAAATTAGAAACTTCTTTCATTTATTTGACAGTAAATAGAGTTGTAATATAAACTCTAATAAGCTTAATTTAAAGGAAGATATTTCAATAATACAAAAAATTATGAATTTAAAATAGTATTTACTTAATTACTTCTTAACAAAAAATTGTTTACTTCTTCTTAAAAAAAACAAAACTAGAACAACCAGCTTACAGCGTGTGTAACAGACATTCTGAATGCCTAGATACATTAGTGTGCCTGGCTGGTAAATGTAACTGCGAAAGGGAAAAATATCTGGAAATTACTGATGGAAGGTGTAAAATAAGTATGTCCTTTCAAATGTAATATTCTAATTGTGATATCATGTTTTTATTTTAAAAAGTCACGACAAACCACTATTCAAAGTAAAAAAACGAAGAAACATAAATGTCAATTGATAATTAAATTTTGTTTGAAAAAAGCTTTAAAAAAATAATATTAATTAATTCTTTTTACCGGGTAGCCTACTTGCTAAACCTTAAAAGTGTTAAATTTTTCTAACAGAAATTGGACATCTAGGGAGCTGTAATTCAACAAGTCAATGTTCAGAAAGTTTAGCATGCGTTGCCAGAGTTTGTGTTTGTACGACAGAGGAATTTTATAACACCAGTAGCAATTTATGCAACACTAGTAAGTCAGCCATGACCTTTAATTTAACTCAAAATATTTTCTTCAAATTCATATTGTATAGTGCATGAACTATTTTATCAATAAAAAAATAAACATTATTCATATGGGAAATATTATATTCTCTTTATGAAATTATAAAGGACGTAGTGCAAGAAACATATGTGCAATGAACAGTCAATGTAAAGCCACACTGATATGTATAGAGGGAAAGTGTAATTGTCATAAAGACAATTATCTAGATGATTCCACAGGATTGTGCATACCAAGTAAGTGATATATGTATCATTTAATTTTCATCTAGATTCAAGATAATTGATTAGGAGGACTCCGAATTTTGTTCATTTCAATTAATAAATATTTGAAGCTGCATTTTCAACAAAGCTCTTTAATGCAATTTTTATTTGAATAATAAAGAGAAATAATGAGGTTGATATAGCATTTTGAATGAAATAATAAGTTGTTTATTATGTTTTATCAATTCAAAAATTTAAATGGAATATAAAAATAATTCTATAACATATTTCCTCCACCATTAAAGTTTAAAATAAAAGCTTTTTAAAAAGATATTTTTAAAATGAGATAGAAAAAAAACAACTAATATATTATTTTAAAATTTTAATTAATTATTCATGATAAATTAAAAATTTTTAATAAATTTTTTATCAAGGGCAACCTGCATATGGCATTTGTAGTAGCTCATCTAAGTGCCAAGAAACACTGGTATGCTTAGCTGGCAAATGCAACTGTATAAAAGAAAATTATTTGGACCCTGCTGATGGGACATGTAAAGCAAGTATGCTCTGTTCTATTTTCTCATATTAATAAATTAATTTAAAAAAATATGTTAATGTTAGCCAAGTTAAAGTGTATAATTTTAAAAAAAAAGTATTTAATACTATTTTTAAAATACATTTATCAGTTCATTTTACTAACAATATGTAAACTAATAACTTTTATTTTTATGTCAGGGATTGGAATTCAAGGAAATTGCCATTCAACATCTGAGTGTGTTGAAAACTTAACTTGTGTCTCTGGGATATGTGATTGTACTTTGGAAGAGTTTTATAACACAAGTAGCAATATATGTCACATTAGTAAGAAATCAGTATTTGAACAATAGTAAATAATCTCATGTTTAGATATTTTACTTAAATAATGTCCTTTCTGACAATATTTATATTAAATTTAAAAAGCTTCACCATTGTCGCATGAAACCATGAAAATTATATTATATAATATATAAATTACTAACTAAAATATGTTGGCATGCCCAGAATTACTCTGGATAGCTATAATTTATAAAAACATTGCTGAGTGAATAATGCTTGCACTTTCTACAATAATATAGGGCACAAAGTATATAGCTCATGTGCTGATTCTAATCAGTGCCAGGAAACATTGACATGCACAGATGAACACTGTGACTGTGATATAGAAAACTATTTGGAATCTTTGACAGGGCTTTGCAAACCAAGTAAATATCAATATGTTCAACTATTCACAATATCATGCATTTAATAATTTTATATTAAATAAATACCTTTTATGCACCACATTTGTAGATAGTACAAGATAAACAACTTGTGACCAAAATTATAATCTAGGATTGTATTATGATAAATAATATAATATTGTTTTCAACAAATTATTTAAGGTAATTAACACTATTTGAAAGTTTTGTGTAAGGAAAGTGTTGATTGAATAAAATGAATTCACATATCATATGAAAATATTAAGGCTGATGTCTCAAATAACTTCCCAATTTTGCCAATATCTTTTTTAAGGACTGCCTGCCTTTAGTGCATGTAGTAATTCATCACAGTGCCAAGAAACATCAGTTTGTTTGGATGGTAAATGCAGCTGTCTGAAAGAAAATTATTTGGATATGAGCGAGGGCAATTGTAAATCAAGTATGTTGTATTTTTAATTCATACCTAAAATTACAGAACATTGCGTCAATGTTAACAAATCTGAAATTTTATTAATATCATGACTGTATAAAGCAGCAGTTCTCAACCTTTGGTCGTGACACCTTTAGCGAAAGAATGACCCTTTCACTGGGGTGGCCTAGGGCCATTGTAAAACAAATATACCCTACAGCTATGAAGTAGCAACGAAAATAAATTTGTGGTTTGGGGTCGCCATAACATGAGGAAATATATGAAAGGGTCGCGGCATTAGAAAGGCTGAGAACCACTGGTTTAAAATAGAGCTGAAAATGGTGATTCCATCAACAATAGATTTATAAATGTCTTTTATTTTAATATGTTCAGAAATCCAATGATGGATGAAAGAGAGTTGAATTGTAATATTTGCAAATATTTAAACTGTATCGTGTTCATATTGTTAATTAAAAAAATAATCTTACTTGATGTCACTGTTTGTATTAAGTTATATTATATGTTAAAAATAATAGTCCATACCTTAGGTTTCAAACAGTTCACAATAATATACAAAAATAAAAATAGATTGCACAGAAACAAGATATATTTTGAATCATATCAATTAAATCTCAATTTCTATAATAGGCCTATATATGTACCAAATCTTGATCTACACTACTAGTTTTTTTTTATCAACCTTCTATAGAGTTGTTCCCAACCTGACCAAATCAAACATTCCCATTGGTCAGTCTTTATGTCCCAATACTCTGTATATATGCACAGGGAATATAGAATATTAACTACATCAGTTGTCTCCAATCGTGGTTCACAAATTCATTATGATATCAGTGACGATTACAAAACGTTAACAGGGAACAAAAAGGAAGGAATTTGCCAGTCAACAACACAATGTGCAGAAAGTTTAACATGTGTCTCTGGAATATGTGATTGTTCATTTGAAGAGTTTTACAACAGAACTAACAATTTTTGCGAAAAAAGTAAGTAAAATGGTATGTTGATAAAATAATATTGGTATCTTATTATCTTATATTCGGAAAAATGGACCACACTGTTGTTTCTTGTTTTAGCTGTATCTTTCTTTTATTTTTACATTTCCATGAGTGTAAATTATATTTTAAATGTGTTTATAATTGAAATCTATCTTTTTAAAAATAATTTCAAAACAAAAATATTTCCTAAACAAAAAAGGGCACAGTAGTTACAGTACATGTGTTGAATCTACTCAATGCAAAGCTACACTGATCTGTATAGAAGGGAAATGTAATTGCTCTATAGATAAATATTTGGAATCTAATACAGGACTCTGCCAAACAAGTGAGTCTAAGTTTTAGCTTGTTAAAATTAATTTATGTATCCATTTTTGTGATAAAAACAAATATTTCACTCTTAATTTCTCTTTTAAATTAAAGAATTGCACTTACAATTTCTTTTTTTATTTGAAGGGCTTTCTAAAGAAAAAGGATGCAACTTCTCAAATCAATGCACAGATAATTTAAATTGTATTTCTGGACTGTGTGATTGTAATGACAACCAGTTTTATGATATCAGCTCAAAGATTTGTGTTTCAAGTAAGTTTTTTTTAGATATAGTTATTTAACACCAAATAGAAAATATTTTAACTTAAAATTTTTTAAATTCTTATTCATAATGTCATGTGTAATATTTAAATATTTATTTCTAATTATTCTATTTATAGGGGGTTCTGCCTTCAGTCCATGTAATGCCTCATCTCAATGCAAAAATAATTTAACTTGTATTAATGGCAAATGTAACTGTACACAAGAGCAGTATCTTAACACTGATAATGATATTTGTAAAGCACGTAAGTATTCCTTCCTCATACTTATAACAGAAATGAAAAAAAATATTTAAACAGAGTTTTGTTTTACAGAAATAAAGATAATATTAAACTTAAATCTTTTTAATATGAAGCCTAGGAGTTATTCAAGAACAGAAATATAAAATCTGAAAATAAGATAAAGTGCTTTATATCTTAAAGCATCCCATTTCTCATATAGGTTTGGACCCATTTAATTACTGTGAGGACACTCTCCAATGTAAAGCTTCATTAAATTGTATAAATGGAAGATGCAACTGCACAAGTGATACATTTTTGGAGCCTGATTCAGGAATTTGCAAATTAAGTAATCAATATTTCTTTTTGTGTGGTTGTTTAAACTAACAAAACAAACCCTGTTATCATATATATTTAAGTCAATTTTTAAAAAAAAATGTTTTATGTAAACATCAGTCAACTTCCAGATTGAAAATCTTTCATGTTGAAGAAGGTTAATGTTATTTAATTGTTTTTAAAAAAAGTTGCGAATCAGCCACTGTAAAATATTTAAATTAACGAATAATTTAACTAACTCTCAGCTTCTAAGAATATTTAGAAAGAGGGACAAACAAAGATTAGTAATATTTAAATTTTAAACAGGATTTGCTGCCTACAGTGTTTGTGAAAACTCCCTTGAGTGTCAGGACACACTGGATTGTTTGGCTGGCAAATGTAGCTGCAAAAGAGAAAGCTACTTAGACATTTTTAATGGAAAATGTAAATCCAGTAAGAAGAGTGATGTTTGGTTAGTTAATTGTTTGCCAGAAGTTAACTGTTAGAACAGTAATGCAAGAAAAGAAAGTTTAAACTACGAACAAATGGAATCTGTAACCCTTTACCATTATTTGTACTGATCAGAGGTTAAAAAGAAGATTTAATGTTTAGAAAAAAGTTATTATTTGCAAATTTTAAGTTTTAAAAATGAAAATTCTATTTATAATGCAGGATTTTAGTTATAGACCTAAAAATATTTGAAGCAGACATCTTTAAAAACAATAATAACCAAGTTGACAATCATTTAATATGTTAATATATAGTTTAGAATCAATAAGTTTTCAGTTTCAATCAGTTTGAATCCTAAACTTTATTTCTATTAAAAAAGATTCATTTATTAAATTAATTCTTGATCATTCATTTATACATTTAAAATAAATCAATTTAAATATGTGTAATTTATTTACCTTTTGTCAGGAATTGATTATGGAGGTAACTGCAGATCATCTATTCAATGTTCGGAAAGTTTAAGCTGTGTCTCTGGAATTTGTGAATGTTCATTAAAAGAGTTTTATAACATCAGTAGCATGAATTGTCAGACCAGTAAGTAAAAAGTCAAGCTTAATCTATTATTTGAGTAGTGCTAAAGTCTTGAGCTTTGACTATGAATAAAGTTCACCAAATGTTAATTATAAAAAAAAAATAATTTTGATAGTTTGTAAAAAAATTCAAGGTTATCTCATAAACAAATAAAAAGTTATCTCATAATCTTTGCTCAGTGTCTAAATATACTTAATATAATTAGAATGTATTTTTCTCCCTTTTTAATATTACAAAAGAATACAGCGCTTACAGCTCATGCACCAATTTCTCTCAGTGCAAAGCCACATTGGTCTGTGAAAAGGGAAAATGTAATTGCTCCAATGAAAATTACTTGGAATCAAATACAGGACTTTGCAAAGCAAGTAAGTCTTTCATAGTTTATTTTATCCTTTTTTACATTGTTATTTATAAATGAGATAAATCTCTTCTTTTAATTTTAAGAATATATAAAAGTTAATATAAAACATCCAGTGCATGGTTTAGCGTGAGTAAATATGCCTTGTCAGCACTTTCAAAAAAAGTCCCCAATCACACACAGCATTTATGTCTTAACCTCATAAGTGTTGAACAGATCTCTTTCAATATAGACTTTTCCCTGTGTATTCTTCTGCATCCAGCCATTTTTAGTTTAAAGAAATATTATTTGTGTCCCTATTTTTTTTCTAAATACTTGCAATCAATTTTACAACTTTTCTGTGCTAACTTCTTTACATTTTCACAGCATTTGGAAAAGAAGGAAAGTATAATTTTTATTATTATACTTGTAATATGAAAAGTGTTTTGAATCTATCTAAAGATTTATTTTGCTTCTAAATTCTCTTTTTGTTAATATAATCAGAACTCCCTGCATACAGTACATGTGACAACTCACCACAGTGCCAAGATACATTGGTCTGCTTGGCTGGCAAATGTAAATGTATCAAAGACAAATTCTTGGACAATCTTGATGGACAGTGTAGAGCCAGTAAGTTGAGTTATTTTTGCTATTTTTAATTTTAAGGGCATTTGATGTGAATTTATTTTATGCAGTAAGGTTTCAATTTTAAAAAGGAAAATAAATGAAAAGCAATGTTGAGATTAGAGGCCGACCGAATTTTGTTTCGGCTTCGGTTTCGGCGCCGAAAGTGGCCATTTTATCACTTTCGGCCAAGTTTCGGTTTCGGCCAAAACTGAAAAGTTAACTTTCGGTTTTTCTTCGGTTTCGGCCGAAATTGACTTAGACTTTCGGCCATATGGCCGAAAGTGACTCAGGTTTACCGTCATCTGATACTCAGCAAAAGCGATTTTTAACAACAAACTAAGCGACATTTAAGAACAAATTAAGCGATCTTTGAGAACAAACTAAACGATCTCAAAGAACAAACTAAGCGATCTTTAAGAACTATCTAAGCGATCTTTAATAACAAACTAAACGATCTCAAAGAACAAACTAAACGATTTCTTAGACCGAACTAAATGATCTTTAAGAACAAAACAAATGATCTTTCATAGTACACTAAATGATTTATAAGAATAAACTAAGCGATCTTTAACAGAAAACTAAATGTTCTTTAGGAACAAACTAAAAGATCTTTAAGAACAAACTAATCGATCTTAAGGAACAAAATCAATTATCTTTAAGAACAAACTAAGCAATCTTTATGAAAAAAACTAAGCGATCTTTACAACAAACTAAGCGATCTTTACAAACAAACTAGAAGATCTTTAAGAACAAACTAACCGATCAATAACAAAAAACTGGACGATCTTTAACAAAAAACTAAGCGATCTTTAAGAACAAACTAAACGATCTTTAATAACAAAACAGGCGATCTTTATGAACAAACTAACCGATCTTTAAGAAAAAATAAAGCGATCATTAACAAAAACTGGACGATCTTTAAGAACAAACTAAGCGATCTTTAAGAACAAACCAAACGATCTTTAACAACAAACTAAGGGATCTTTAACAACAAGCTAAATGATCTTTAACAACAAACTAAGTGATCTTTTAGAACAAACTAAACGATCTTTAACAACAAACTAAGCAATCTTTAACAACAAGCTAAGCGATCTTTAAGAACAAATTAAGCGATCTTTAAGATTAAACTAAGTGACATTTTAGAACAATCTAAGCGATATTTATGAACAAACTCACCGATCTTTAAGAAAAAACTAACCGATCAATAACAACCAACTAATCGATCTTTAAAAACAAATTAAGCGATCTTTTAGAACCAAATTTTTTAGAGACCAGGTTTAAAAATATAATATTTTGCATTAATTTCCCCTCCCCCTCCCACCCCCCCCCCACCCAATTTTTGCCAAATTTTCTCCTACCATACTAATTTTAAAAAAAAATTGTAAAGCAATTTTAATTACTTTTATATTAAAATGGTAAAATCCAAAGTATTCATTAGATCAAGGGTCTCAAACTCAAATCATGGGGGGCGGGGCGCAAGAGGTAGTGTCTGAATGAGAGTGGGCCGCATCAAGTAATCCACAAAAAAGCGATTACAACTGTTACAATCTGCTCAACCTTTATAAATAACAATAAAATCATTAAGGGTTCTTATAACTAGGAGTCACTTTCATCCACCTACTCACTGTTGCCAGAGACCTGGCATACAAAAATATATAGAAACATTTAAAAAAATAATCAGTATTAGATTAGTCAGTGTGATTCGACTGAAACCGTCGCGGAGAGTCACGTTATATTGTCTTGCGAGTCACAAATGGCTCGCGGCTGCGAGTTTGAGACCCCTATATTAGATGTTTATTAATATTCACGATTATCTCATTTTTTATAAAAAGAATGTCAATATTTATACTTTCCCACATCATTTTCGATGTATGCAGAATGTATGCTGGAACGAATTTCAAAATATCTTAATATTTCAGTTTCGGTTTCGGCTTTGGTTTCGGCAAAAATTCATTTTTAACTTTCAGCCTTTTTTCGGTTTCGGCCGAAAATCATTTTAAATTTTCAGCCTATTTTCGGCTTGGGCCGAAATCAGAAAATCAATTTCGGTCGGTCTCTAGTTGAGATAATAAAAAAAGAAACAGAAAAAAATGTAAAATACTTTTTTGAACAAAAAATTGATCAGGAGAGTTAAAAGAAAAACAAAATATTCTGTTTGCAAAATTTTTATTTTGGATTAATTTACCTTGATCTCTTGGTATTTTCATTTTGAGCTGAAATTCATTAAAGTAGATTTATTAATTAAAGCTAAGAAATATGTGTTCTACGATCTCATTTATTTGTACATATTAATGTGAGAAAATATTTTTACCTTTTTTCATGACAAGTTTTTACCAAACTTTAAAAAAATTATATACTCTGTAATATGTTAAAATAAATCAATTTGAATATTTGTAATTTATTTATCTTTTGTCAGGAATTGATTATGGAGGTAACTGCAGATCATCTATTCAATGTTTGGAAAGTTTAAGCTGTGTCGCTGGAATTTGTGATTGTTCATTAAAAGAGTTTTATAACATCAGTAGCATGACTTGTCAGACCAGTAAGTAAAAAGTCAAGCTTAATCTATTATTTGAGTAGTGTTAAAGTCTTGAGCTTTGACTATGAATAAAGTTCACCAAATGTTAATTATAAAAAAAATTAATTTTGATAGGTATTGACATTTTGAGGATGAAGTCTAAAATAGTTTGTAAACAAATTCAAGATTATCTCATAAACAAATAAAAAGTTATCTTATAATCTTTGCTCAGAGTCTAAATAGGCTTAAAATAATTAGAATGTATTTTTCTCCCTTTTTAATATTACAAAAGAATACAGCGCTTACAGCTCATGCACCAATTCTTCTCAGTGCAAAGCTACATTGGTCTGTGAAAAGGGAAAATGTAATTGCTTCAATGAAAATTACTTGGAATCAAATACAGGACTTTGCAAAGCAAGTAAGTCTTTCATAGTTTATTTTATCCTTTTTTACATTGTTATTTATAAATGAGATAAATCTCTTCTTTTAATTTTAAGAATATATAAAAGTTAATATAAAACATCCAGTGCTTGGTTTAGCGTGAGTAAATATGCCTTGTCAGCACTTTCAAAAAAAGTCCCCAATCACACAAAGCATATATGTCTTAACCCCATAAGTGTTGAACAGATCTCTTGCAATATAGACTTTTTCCTGTGTATTCTTCTGCATCCAGCCACTTTTAGTTTAAAGAAATATTATTTGTGTCCCTATTTCTTTTCTAAATACTTGCAATCAATTTTACAACTTTTCTGTGCTAACTTCTTTACATTTTCATAGCATTTGGAAAAGAAGGAAAGTATAATTTTTATTATTATACTTGTAATCTGAAAACTGTTTTAAATCTATCTTAAGATTTATTTTGCTTCTAAATTCTCTTTTTATTAATATAATCAGAACTCCCTGCATACAGTACATGTGACAACTCACCACAGTGCCAAGGTACATTGGTCTGCTTGGCTGGCAAATGTAAATGTATCAAAGACAAATATTTGGACAATCTTGATGGACAGTGTAGAGCCAGTAAGTTGAGTTATTTTTGCTATTTTTAATTTTAAGGGCATTTGATGTGAATTTATTTTATGCAGTAAGGTTTCAATTTTAGAAAGGAAAATAAATGAAAAGCAATGTTGAGATAATAAAAAAAAGAAACAGAAAAAAATGTAAAACACTTTTTTGAACAAAAAATTGATCAGGAGAGTTAAAAGAAAAACAAAATATTCTGTTTGCAAAATTTTTATTTTGGATTAATGTAACTTGATCTCTTGGTATTTTCATTTTGAGCTGAAATTCATTAAAGTAGATTCAATTAATTACAGCTAAGAAATATGTGTTCTACGATCTCATTTATTTGTACCTATATATGTGAGAAAATATTTTTACCTTTTTTCATGACAAGTTTTTACCAAACTTTAATTAAAATTTATACTCTGTAACATGTTAAAATAAATCAATTTAAATATGTGTAATTTATTTTTCTTTTGTCAGGAATTGATTATGGAGGTAACTGCAGATCAGCTATTCAATGTTCTGAAAGTTTAAGCTGTGTCTCTGGAATTTGTGAATGTTCATTAAAAGACTTTTATAACATCAGTAGCATGACTTGTCAGACCAGTAAGTAAAAAGTCAAGCTTAATCTATTATTTGAGTAATGTTAAAGTCCTGAGCTTTGACTCTAAATAAAGTTCACTAAATATTAATTATAAAAAATTTAATTTTGATAGGTATTGACATTTTGAGGAGGAAGTCTAAAATAGTTTGTAAAAAAATTCAAGGATATCTCATAAACAAATAAAAAGTTATCTCATAATCTTGGCTCGGTGTCTAAATATACTTAATATAATTAGAATGTATTTTTCTCCCTTTTTAATATTACAAAAGAATACAGCGCTTACAGCTCATGCACCAATTCTTATCAGTGCAAAGACACATTCGTCTGTGAAAATGGAAAATGTAATTGCACACATGATCATTATTTGGATTTAAATACAGTTCTTTGCAAAGCAAGTGAGTACTTCATATTTTATTTAATTTTATGTCTCATTGCATTTAAAACTTCAATCTACTCTTTATATTTGAAGAATATTTACAAAAGGAAATAATTCATACAATGAATGACATGAGTAAAATTGTATGTGTGTAATCCCAAAATATGACAAGTGCCCCAACACACATTAAATTTTTGTCTAAGCCACAAAAGTGCCTATAAGTGTATTTGCCCTCTTTACATGACAATGGATTTTCTTAAGTCTTAGTCAGTCATTTTAATGACTTGATAAATATAAAATAATTTTTCTTCTTTTTTTGTTTTTTTATTAAGAGCTTCCAGCATACAGCATGTGTGACAACTCATTCCAATGCCAAGATACATTGGTATGTCTGGCTGGAAAGTGTAACTGTGTCAAAGAGAACTTCTTGGACATTTCTAATGGAATATGCAAAGGCAGTAAGTTGAGATATTTTTCTAGGTTTAATATTAAAGGCAATTTCTAGTTGTTAAAACCAAATTCATGTTTTCATAAGAAAATGATGAGATCTTTAAGGCGAGTGAACAATTATGTGTAATTTACATAGCCACATTTTATCCCTTGAAGTATTTAGAAGCAGCCTTAAAAAAAGTGGTCAAAACTCGGTGTTAAATACTATAACTTGCTTTCATCATTTTTAAAGATTTTTCTATTGATGATTAAGTATCTCTTCTCTGAAAATGTTTGTATGTAATTTAGGCTATCGGTTCCACTTAAATATTATATTTATAAATTTACTTATATATTATCTGTTAGGGTTTGGAGCTCAAGAAAGATGCAATTCAACAACACACTGTAAAGAAAGTTTAACATGTTTATCTGGAGTTTGTGGTTGTACTTTTGAAGAATTTTATAACATCAGTACACATTCCTGTCACAATAGTAAGCTTAATTGCTGCATTATTAAAGTAGGAATTTAAACATCTGAAATATAAAATATAAATATGATTCATAAAAAAAATCTTCTAAACAATTCCTTTGAGTACTTTGCTTTTAACCTATTTATTTGTGTAAATTGATTGAATTTATGGTAGGAACTTCACCAAATGAGAGATTGAAAACAACTTTTTTTGTGGGGTAACTCAAGATACAAAAAACTCACTTTTCAATAAACTACAAAAGGGTGTGGATGTTTCATAGTCAAAATCCATCATACACTAATATACTTGTTACCATAATTAAAGTAGGATACATGATATTCTTTTTGAATTATATTAAAATGTATTATTAAAAGAATTGAACTTACAATAGGTTATATTTTGAGTCATTGCCTTTGAGGTATAATAGTGTAAACTCTGCATTGTTCATAAAAATATCTTAATGAAGCTAAAATTATTTTTACATGTTGTTGTTACTCTTGTTTAACATTCACATTGTTTAGTGTACAGAATCGTTTACACACACACATTTACAACGTTTTCAAGAGTTAATAAGGAAAAAAAATGCAAATCCTCCATAGATCAGCTTTATATGCATTTCAGGATTCTGGGATTGTATTAAAAGCCAATATTATAATCCCATTTCTAAATTGGGCAATAAAATAGTTCCATTTTAGTAGTTAATTAAATATAAATTAAAAAATGCAACTATTGATAAAAGGAATCAATCTGATTTTTTTAAAAGGTCTAAACAAAATAATAATCAATATTATTCAATAGTATTCAATAGTATTCAATTGTGTATAATAGTATTATATTTTTTATAAAAATATTATATTTTTTATAAAAATATTATCATTTATCATTTATGATGCATTTAATTATTTCAAAAAGTATTGTCTGCCTTCAGTCTTTGTAATGTTTCATCTCAGTACAAACATAATGAAATGTGTATTTGTGGCAGATAAAATTGTTCATTAAAACTTTATCTGAGTATAACAGATGCCGCTTGTCAAACAAATGAGCCCTTTATGTACAGGGTGGGCCAATAAAAGTGAGAACATCTCGTAGCGTAATTAGATAACTCATCTCATATCCAATTTTTTGAAATTATCTTTAGGGTTCGGTGCATTAACTGAATGTAAAGACTCTTCTCAGTGCAAGGCAACATTAAGCTGCATCAATGGGAGATGTAACTGCACGGTGGATACATTCTTTGACTTGCCTTCTGGCACCTGTCATTTGAGTAAAGCGATTTTTTAATTTTGCTGTTATTATTGGATAGAATATGGTGATATAATTATAATCAAGAAAATTTAAGCAGAAATTATTACTTTTTAAGATGAGAAATATTTCATACATTATATTTTTGACAGGGCTCAGTCATAGAAGTAAGTGTCAAAACACTTCTCAATGCTTAGAAAATTTCAATTGTGTAAATGGAGCTTGTGATTGCAATCCAGGACAGTTTTATAAAAATAGCTCCAAATCATGCATTACAAGTGAGTATTTTATTATTTGTGTTTGCGGCATTCATGAAGAATTTTTTTAATAGCACAATTTTTTGAATGTTGGAACAAAAAACTTGACTTGATATGTATTTTTAGTAAATAATCTTAAAATTAAATTTTGAAACAGCCATTCTTTCTTCCAATCACTTTGTGTCTTTATTTATTAACAGTGTCTATGTGTACACTACTTTGTTTGCAGAAATAACAAGATGGAATAAATGCAACTCAACCAGGGAATGTATTGACACTTTAACTTGTGTTTCTGGTGTTTGTGATTGTACATTTGAACAGTTTTTTGATAGCAATGTCAGACGGTGTAGTATGAGTAAATAACAGTACATATAATCATCTATCATACCATTAGAAAATAATGATATGGAAATCTGTTACATTAAAATTTGTATATTCATTATGTTAGGTAAAATATTTTAATTTAATTATTTATAAGTTTATAAATATGAAATTTTAAAAAAATTACTTATAATGACATAGATTTTATACATTGAAAAAATGACCAGAGTAACTAATATTTTCTATTCATTAAATTCATTTTTTTGTTTTCCTTACAGGGTTAAAAGCTTTTAATCCATGCACTAGTTCAACTCATTGTAAAGAAACACTGACATGTGTGGGAGAGAAATGTGTGTGTATGAAGGACAATTTTTGGGATCTTAATTCAGATTCCTGTAAACCAAGTTAGTTTTTTTTTTAATGGATTTGTCAATACTGGTTCTACTTTCTTTCTCCATATTAAGATTAGGTTAACCATTAATATATTTCCACCAGGAAAAATTTCAAGCATGAAAATAAGCTGTCTAGTATTAATTTTTCTTTGAATTTGGTGCTGGCATTGCATCTAGTATGATATATTTTGCTGTTTTGTATTTATTCTAAATTGTACAAAAGCATATTTCTAACTCTGCACATTATTACAGCTAAGTTTAGATACTCAATGATAGGTGGACTACCGGGACTCCCCCTACTTTGAAACAAAATACTACTCAAAATTTGGTCATTTTTGAATGTGGAGGACAAGCAATACATAAATAATACATGCTAGAATCCCACTGAAGCAAACTATAAATATATTTCATCTATGAAGATAAGGGTTGTACTCTAATCAGGGTTATTCATGGGGATGGGGGCAAAGGGGTCACCCACCATGTATGCAAAATTCAGAGGGTCCAAAATTGTCATTTTTCAATAAAAAATATGTGTATTAATAAAATATATTCATTTTGGGAAAGAGTGTGCCTGACTTCAGCATTTGGCTAGTCACAGTTTTTGAATGGCACAGCACTGACTCTGATAAACTTTGTTCAATCTCATTAAATACTCTTGTTTTTTTAAAACATAGAACTTTTAAAAGAACAGTCCTGTAATGAAACCAGCCAATGTTTGGACAATCTCACTTGTGTTCATGGTTTCTGTGACTGTACAGAAGATCAATTCTATTTTGCTAATGAAACATTTTGTCACACAAGTAAGAATAAATGTTTTAAGTCTTCATACATTTGTCACTTTGCTTAAAGAATGAGGATTAAACTATTCTGTGATCATTTATTGTCAAGTTTTCTTCTAAAAAAAAAATCAAGTATGGAGTTTTTTTTATTATTATATATTTAAATTTTTAACTGAACTAATTAAAAAATAACAAATAAAAATTTTAAAAGTTACATTTTTGCAACTATTGGTCTTTAAATTATAAAAACACATTTTTAGTAAATTTATAAATTACAATATCAAAGTAATTCCAATTAAAAATCTTGCACAATGTAAAGCATGAAAGAGTTTATCCCAGCAAAGTAAAAGTTACATTATCCTATTAAACAAGTTGTATTGATAGTGTCTGTCTGTGAAAATGTGTAATTTTCTTAGTTCCAATTTTGTATGCAAGAAGAGTATGAAATAAAAATAATGAAAGTAAATTATGTTATTCATGCTGAAATTTAAAATCCCATATATTTTAAAAATTTTTTGTTTCAATGAACTTTTTGGAATGGTTTCAAAATATATGACTAAGAGTTGAAGCTTTTAGTTATAGTTTCTATAAATTTAAAAAATGTGTATTGCTAACAAATTTTAAAATGTGTATTGTCCAGAGCACAGTTAGAATCTAGCTTATTTAATTGAAATCAATTACTTTAGAAACTTATTTTACATCACACACAAAGTTTGAACTTAAAATTGTTATTGCCAACTATTTATTATTTTTTTGGTTCTTTCAATTTTTTGTGTGTTTACTTACTTATAATGGACCATATTTGATATTTTGTGATTAAATTAATGAGTGGCACATTAAAGAAGTATTTGTATTATTACATTTTTAGAATTTGGAGATAAAAGCGTATGCAACATTTCATCACAATGTTACCAAAATCTGGAGTGTTTCAATGGTATATGTACGAGTGGAGAAAATTCATCCAAATTAAGTGTGTGAATTTGAGTAATTTTAATTTTCTTACTTACAGTTACAGGAGAGATTAATTCATTTAGAAATAATTTAATTGTTTGTTATAGATTGTTGGGTAGGTATAGGTGCAACGTTGGGATGTAATCCAAAAATATTATAGTATTTGTTGGGTTTTTCATTATTTAATTCAATATATTGAATATAGCAACACGTTTTTAATTATTAAGCCAAGTTTTTATATTGGATTTCAGAATTTAATATTTTCTACATTGTTGGCATTGCTATTGGTGGATCAATTTTTCTGGTTGTTATTATAACCACTCTTATAGTGAGAAGAAGGTAAGAAGAATTAAAAAGTTATTAATTTAACAAATATTAATAAAATGTACATACAAAATTAAAAGCATGTAATACAAAGTAACTAATGAGAGGAATGTCACTTTGACACTTTTTAGGCCAAAACACTTTGTTGGATTTAAAATGTTCTAACATGTTAAACTTCTTTTAGTTATTAACTCTCCCTTACATTAAAGGCTTAAAACTCTACCTTTGTGATCAGCACTCAACACACCTACTAGATTTGCAAGTATCTCAATAATGAAAGAGATACAATAAATCATATAGTAAAATATAATATCCAATTTATAAATTTTATAATTTGGAAGGATTATTTTTTTCTATTATTTGAAACTAATATCAGTAAATAATTATTTATGAAATATGATTTAGAAATGCTGCCATATAAAGCTAAGAAATAAATCGACCTTTTTCTTTTTTCATAATGCTGCGTTATATATATAATGAGTAAAAAAAAGAAATTATTCAAACAATATTTGTATTGTTTTGAATTAGATCAATCTGCTTGAATTTAAATAAAAAAAAGAGTCAAATATCAAATATTCAAGGAGCAGGGCTTTTAAAAAATTTCAATTATGAATTTTAAAAAAAAATATATTAACAATAAAAAGAATATTTCTCTAAAAATTATTTTTAATTGATAAATTTTCTTTATTTTATTTAAAGAAAAATATGCAAAGTTTAAGTTTATGTCAAAAACTAAAATTTGTAGAAACTTTTGAGATTAACAGCTACAGCTCCAAAAGTAAATGTTTTTTTTTGTATTATAAAAACGTTTTACACAAATGATCATATCAGATCCAAATAAATGTGAAAGTACGGAATAATAATTGTTATTAAACTAATTTCACTGCAGTATCCATTAAAGGCACCATTACAGTGATCTAAATAATCTTAATTTGTGTTTTATCATTAATAGGAAACGTCAGATTCATGTACCTCAAAGTTCCCAAGAAAACATCCATAATTTGTCTGACAGTGTAAATACAAAGAGTAAAAACAATACAACTTTCAGACATGTTGACAGGATTTGTCAGGCTCAATGGGTAGAAGGTGAGGACTCCTTATTAATCTAGATTGGCTAATAATTTAAACTATAAATGGAAATGTAGCAATATATAAATCTCTTTCTCTCTCTTTATATATAAATATATTATGCAAAAGACATGAACTGATGGGGCACTTCCAGTGAAACTAGGAACTTCAAACGTGATACCAGTGAGACTGATAATCCCCAGATTGTTGAAAAGTTGAAAACAATTAGTGCAAAAGACCTCCCCCACATTAGTATTCCAGCCAACCTATAAATTCAAATGTTTGATTAGAGAAGAGAGTACCCCTAACAATTTCAACAGTTGAAACACTTTTGAAGGAGCCTAGGGTGACAGTTTGTGAAGAAGGGATTATAAAAAAAATAGCAAATTTTTTTTCCAAACAGCAAAGAGATACAATTTTGGGAATCAATAGAATGGAGGGTAAAGAAAGTACAGAAACAACAGTAAATAATTTAGTTTGGGATGAACGTTATGGGGAAAATACAATTTAAATTGAAACAGGAAATTTTGAGGTAAATTAACTAGAAACATGAGAGTTGTGAACATGAAAGATGTGAACAGGAGAGATGTGAACAGGAGAGATGTGAACAGGAGAGATGTGAACAGGAGAGATGTGAACATGAAAGATGTGAACATGAGAGATGTGAACATGAGCGATGTGAATGAGAGAAGTGAACATGAGAGATGTGAACCAGCAAAGTTTGGATTTTCTATTTTTATGTTAAACATTTCAAGTTTATATATAAGTGTATAAATAAACATCCCTTTTATTTTAAACTCCAAAGGTAAAAAAAAAATCATTAAAAAAGATCGCTTATTATTACTTTTTTTAAAGGAATGAATCTTTGTTTTTTTTAAACAAAAATGAGCAATGGGTATTGCTAACAAAAACTCCATTGTCAACATGAGGGGCTATTTAATATATTGCAATCAGATCTTTTTTTTTTCCACAATAATTTACTTACTATTGAAACTGACCTATTAAAGAATTATTTTAAAAAAATCTATATCAGGTAACAATGTTTACACAACCATAGAGTCAATGGACAAGAAAACAGTGAATACATCAGAGATTTGAGTTTAAGGTGATACTAGCAAATAGGTCAAGTAGTTTTTAAAATAATTAACAAAATTTTTTTTATATGTGTAATCCTAAAAATAATTGTAACAAGTTAGATAACCTAAAGATTTTATAAAATTAATCATATGATTTAACATGGGAATCTATTAAAACCCTTGAAAAAAAAAGTGTGCTTTTTTGGTTTGTTTTTTTATAAATTCAACTTTAGTTGGCAAAATCAACGCATTTAGTTGCTTATTATTTTGTATGAATATAATTTGCATTTTAATGTTTTTAAAAAAATTGTATGATATTTCTGAACGGAAGCCGCTAAAATGTTTCTCTCCTCGTTCTGTCTGCTTTTACCTTTACCAGCATGCATTGTGTGGAGGTGCAATTTGCCATTGCTAAAAGGTGTGAGGTCATCTGGAGGTTATGATACCTATACTTTTAGAGCTTTCTTGACACATTCAATCCACAAACAGCGTGGTCTTTCACTGGCCATGAAACTGGTTGCCTGCTTTTTAGGCTTCCAATGCTGGTTGCATGACAGGCATTCTGTTTGGCAAAACCAATTATTCCATTTCTGAAAAAATGGGTGTAAAGTTTGGAATGAAGTTCATCTTAATTAGCCTTGCTGAAAGTTCAATCTTAATTCTTGGGTGTCTTACTAGCAGGGCTTTTTGGTAGCTGACTGCATTTGCCCTCTTCAATCTTGTCTCTATCTCCATATCCATTTGCCCTCTTCATTCTTGTGTCTATCTTCCTGTCCATTTGCCCTCTTCACTCTTGTGTCTATCTTACTGTCCATTTGCCCTCTTCACTCTTGTCTCTATCTCCCTGTCCATTTGCCCTGATCACTCTTGTCTCTATCTCCCGGTCCATTTGCCCTCGTCACTATTGTCGCCATCTCTATATCCATTTGCCATCTCTGTCCAAAGTCCTTCCCAGATATTATACTTCTAGTGTTGATGGAGCAGCTTACCACCAACAGGTCTATCTTTTTTTTTTCTAGGGTATGACCCACTGACATAACTTCACACTTATCTTAGTTGATTTTCATTCTACAATGTTCGCACGCACCTTTCACACTATCAAAAGAATTCATCGATTGTTCCTTGGTATCGTTTTCATAGGGTGTCCTGATAGTATCGAGAAGCTGTCCTTTCAGTCTGAACGTGTCTACCACTTCCCAGAACTTATTCCTGTCCACCCTGTTGAAAGATTCTCTTTGTTTACAAAAACTAGTGGAAGTTTTCATTGATATTCACAAGCTTGTCACAAATTTGCCGGAGAGTGAAAAAGCATCATTGAAACCTCTTCATTTTCTAAAGCCAAACCGGGCATATCTAAGAAGGGATTCGACTATTGTCTGCTTCTGTTGGATCTTATCACAAATATTTTACAAATATTGCCTAGTACCGAGATGTCTCTGTATTTACCTGAGCATTTAAAAAATATTCTTCGTCCATATGGAGTGCTACTCCATTTCTCTGCCAGTATTCTGGTGCAATTCTCTCTTCCTGCACTTTTTGAAATATGATTGCGATTGGTGTAAATGGACTTACTAGTGAGGCCATCACTGCACCTGGAGAGATTGGTATCAAATGGCTAACATGTTTACTAATCAATTTTTGTATTGCATGTTTTGAAGTTTACTTTTTATTATTATTATGTTTATTTCATTGTATGCCATTTTATTCCTTGACATTATTTAATGGAGCTTTTAATTTTATGTTCCTTGATTTTATTGTAATTTCAAAACAATTTTTAATTTAACAATAGATTGGTTAACAATAGACAAATGAAACACTTATTGTTAAATTGACTAATCTAATGTAATATCAGCACATTTAATGAAACTTCTAATATGTACTACTATTTATATTTTAACAAGATCTGCATGCTTTTAAATAATTTGTTTGATAACATTGATGAAGTTGATTATCCTTCATGAAAAAATTTATTCGTGCTTATTTAGAAATTCAATCCTTAATGTTGTTTCCAAAAAATTCTTCAAGAAAATATTTGATAAACTATGAAATGAGTTAATTTTTAACATTTCTTTACCTTATCTCTAGCATTATTAACATAACAATTTTACTTTCTCTTAAATTTAGTGATTTAGTTTGTGGTTTTGTTGAGGAGGGGGGGGGGTGTCTTTACTTTTTTTCCCGTTTCAACCATATGATGGGGAAATATTAACGCCTAAATATCTAAAATGATGAGTTAATATGTATATATAATATATATATATATATATATATATATATATATATATATATATATATATATANCCCCCCCCCCCCACGCTTCCAAACCATGGCAAACAAGGAAGTAATCGATTATATATGGTATGTTATATTGTGTGAGAACTGCCATAATAATTGGCCAAACCCATGCATCAAATGACCAAGCAACGTGAACACCGTAGTCTGTGAACTTTCTTAATTACCCAACTATTTCGGAACTGTATTTACTGAGTTAAACGAATAACACAAAATTTACTGGTCTATTCAGAGAAATCGCATGGGCCTTGCGACACATGCGACTGCAGGGGACCTCAGATTTGCGATTGTGGCACTCTAAAAGTAAAAATATGTGAATCACAAGTTTTGCTACCCCTCCCCTCTTTTTATTTTGAAGGTCCTTAATAACTATAAAACAATGAAAATAAAATAAGGTAAAATCCCTGTATTGTAACTTTTTTATTCCCAAACACCAAATAACGCAAGAACAGGAGAAGGGGAGACCGAGGTAGCACTCCTGATAAGCGGAATTTTAGCGTGCGATTAAAAGAAAAGAATGTTGTTTAAAAAAATACAGTCGAACCCACTTGTCTCAACCCCGGTTAACTCGCCAACCCTGTTTAGTCGACATTTTTGACGTAGAGCCGCCCAATTCTCTCTTTGTCATAACATTTTCTCATCGGTTATGTCCATTCTTTTATGTCGCTGAACCCCAATATCTCGAGTACAAAATAGGGCCAAATTTGCCACTTTACGTCGGTTATCTCGATCCCTATTACCAATTGCCGACTTTTGAACACCGCAATAAGAAATAACAAACAACAAATAAACAAGATTTGCATAATTAATAATTATTATTTATTTCTCAAAATGAAAAGTTTTGCAAAAATTGAAAATACAAAAATCAAATTTCGCTCAGATTAATCTTAACTGCAGCCTTTTGAGAATAAAATGCCGGTACTGTTTAATTCTTAACTCAGTTCAAAATCTCTTTAAAATTTTAAATTTTAATTTTATTGAATTATTTTAATGCCAACCATATAGGCCTACTCTATTATATTTAGTCGGCTAATTGAAAATTAGTAAGAGACTGTAAATGAACTGCATTGATTGAATCTAAAATGCGTTATCATTAAATTGGTGAAATAGAGATTAATAGTTTCCAGAATTTCCAGGTCAGATGTTGTACTGTCTGTACCTTTGATATAACTGGTTTCCTTTTCTAACGGTATACTGTCTTAACTGACAACGAAAGATTGAACGTAGAGCCAGGGCCGTTCCTTGCGCAAACACCAAGAGGCACACAAATACTCTAGAAAGTGACTTTACTTAAATTAATAGTACGGCTTTCTTTTGACTGCTCCACCCCGAGCGCCAAGTCGTTAATATATTGAGGTTCTTGGTGTCCGGGCTTCGCTTCGGGCACTGCTATTCAGCGGGATGTTCTTTCACACAGTACAATGACAATATGTTTAAATATATTTAAAAGGACTTCCATTCTATAGATTTGTTGCTAGTCAGAAATGTAGAAATTGTATGTTTCGATTTCGGAAATTAAATTATTACACCAAGAAATGGCGTCAGCAGGGCGAGTTTGCACTCTTTATGCCCCCCCCCCAAATTACCCCTCCCCGGCCCAACGTACCGGGCCGCGGAGCGGCACGTTGTAGATGCCACCTCGTCAGGACAGCCCCCACCCGGGTCCCTCACCCAAGTCCCCCGCCTGGGCGCTTGGGCGCTCGACCAGGACTCCGCCTGGGTGCCGGCCCCAACCAGTAGGCATCCGACACTATGTGTTTAAACAGTGCACACGATCGACTTTCTTTAGGAGTGGGATGGAAAATGTACTTCCTAATATCTTCCCCCACCTATCCCGGGAAAGCGTCGGACGCCCTAAAAGAGGGATTCCACAGTGGGCTTCTACAACGTGACTAGTTCACGCTATAGCTGGGACGAAACGGTTGCCTAGGGGCAGCTTTCTCACGGCTGCATTTTTTTAATCCTCGGCCAGAGGTTACCACCCTCGCCTCTGGCCTCATACCCGTCTCCGGCAACTTGTAATCATGATCCCTACCCTGGCTCTGCCTAATTTTTCGGCTGTGAAGTATCACAACCGGCAGCCCTGTGGGCGCTGTTTTATGTACGGCAGGTACGAGCACACCCTTTGTCTGCCCACGCGAGGCGTGCCCAGTAGTTTTGTCCCCCGGGTAACGCCGAGGGGGTCGATGGCCGACGCCTCCTAATCGACAAGCCACTACAGACTTGTCAACTGGAGCCCCAGGAGATTTCGGAAATAAACATAGCGTTCCTCTCCCTACCCCATACACACAAACACTGTTCTAGTTATTATGTGATAGTGGACAGTAGATTTACAAATCATCCTGTCGGTGTTGTAACCGAAGAGCGCAGTTTCTCTTAATAGTCGCCATCGGATTAGATAAGAACAGGCGGAAAGTTTGACATAGGCCTAACTATAAATTGGTTCCGTGACAAACGCGCACAAGACAATTGCCATTGCGCACACGACAAACGCGCACAGACAATCCCGCAATGACACAAATGCGCACAGGACAAACGCGAACACCGATAGTTGCGCACACGAACAATGGCGCACACCGACAAATGCGGACACCGACAATCCCGCACAGTGACAAATGCGTACGGCTATATAAGCGCACACCGACAAATGCGCAAATAGCAAGTTATGCATCGCCAATTTAAAGATGATAATGGATTTAGTCTTAGTTGGTTTTCAGCCAAAATACATCATGTTTAAAGCTAACAATATATTAATAATCATAATAAATGTAATAATAATTGTATGCATATTTTAAAAAAAAAAAATTTTTAAATGTATAGACTAATAGTATAGTAATAAAATGTTCGTTCTAGTAGTACTGCTACGTCATGATTTTTAAGAGATGTCATTTAAAAAATTTTAATTGGATATTTAAGTCTTAATCAGCATGTTAAACCATCGTAGTATGATGGAA